ACCATTTCTTTCCAATCTCTCTCTTCTCACCAAGCTTTCTTTGCAGCGAAATAACCTCAATGGAGAAATCTCAAGTACCTTGGGACTACTCTCACAGTTAGAATATCTGAATATGAGTGAAAATAACCTCTTTGGTGCCTTTCCGGCTTCACTACATGGCTGTCAAAGCTTGAAATTTCTTGACTTGAATTACAACAATCTATCTGGGGTCATTCCTGAAGAACTTGGCTGGATGAAGAAGCTGACGTTTTTGGTTCTCTCTCAAAACAACTTCACTGGGGCCATTCCATCCTTTATATCAAACCTGACAGAATTGACACGACTAGAATTAGCTGTGAATTACTTTACAGGTAAAATTCCTGTGGAGCTTGGAGCTTTGACCAGGCTAGAGATTTTGTATTTGCACCTCAACTTTCTTGAAGGCGCAATACCAGCATCACTAAATAATTGCACTGCATTACGTATAATTTCATTGATTGAGAATCGAATATCAGGAGAACTCCCTGCCGAAATGGGGAACAAGCTCCAAAACTTGCAGAAGGTTTATTTTCAAAACAACAATATTTCTGGTAGGATTCCTGTGACCTTCTCAAATCTTTCACAAATAACACTGCTTGATTTGACTTTCAATTACTTAGAGGGTGAAGTACCTGAGGAATTGGGGAAGTTGAAGAAACTTGAGATCCTTTACCTTCATAGCAACAACCTGGTTAGCAATTCTTCTCTCAGTTTTCTTACTGCTCTCACAAACTGTTCATTTCTACGGAAACTGCACTTAGGGTCATGCTTATTTGCTGGAAGTTTACCAGCGTCCATTGGCAATCTTTCAAAAGACCTGTATTATTTCAATCTTTTGAATAACCGTATAAGAGGAGAGATTCCAGATAGTATTGGCAACTTGAGTGGCCTTGTGACCCTCCATCTGTGGGACAATCAATTAGACGGAACAATTCCAGCAACTTTTGGAAAGCTGAGGCAGTTGCAAAGACTGTATTTGGGGAGAAACAAGCTTCAAGGTTCTATTCCAGATGAAATGGGACAGATGGAAAACCTTGGTTTACTTGATCTCGGTGATAATTCCTTAACCGGGTCAATCCCATCTTCACTTGGTAACCTCTCACAGTTGAGATACCTGGACCTATCTCATAACCGCTTATCAGGAAATATTCCCATCAAACTAAGCCAGTGCTCTCTCATGATGCAGCTGGATGTATCCTTTAACAACTTGCAGGGGCCTCTTCCCACAGAAATTAGTTTTTTTGTTAACTTGGGTCTCTCCCTCAACCTTTCAAATAACAATCTAGATGGGGAAATACCTGCAAGTATTGGAAAGCTGGAATCTGTACAAGCTATTGACTTATCAGTGAACAAATTTTCTGGCAGTATACCAAGTTCAATTGGAAGTTGTGTAGTTTTGGAGTACTTGAACCTATCCAAGAACATGATTGAAGGTACAATTTCGGATTCTTTGAAACAAATTGTATATTTGAAAGTCCTGGACTTGTCTTTTAATCAATTAACAGGCAGTGTTCCAATCTGTCTTGCCAATGACTCGGTGATGGAGAATTTTAATTTGTCTTATAATAGATTATCAGGAGAAGTTCCAAGTACGGGAAGGTTTAAAAATCTTAGTGGAAGTTCATTGATAGGAAATGCAGGCTTGTGTGGTGGTTCTGCACGAATAAGACTCCCGCCATGTGTAGTTCAAAAGAAAAGGAGGAAGTTGAGGAAATGGACCCATTACTGGTTTGCAATTCCAATTAGTTGTTTTTTGTTGTTGTTAATATGTGTCGGGGTCTGTGTTCGAAAAATCTTTAAAAAGATAGCTGATGCAGAATCTGAAAAACAAATGGTAATGGCTTCCCCATCTCATCACGGAGGCCGGACTTTCACTCAAAGAGAGCTTGAGATTGCAACCAATGGGTTCGATGAGGCCAATCTCTTGGGGAGAGGAAGCTTTGGATCTGTTTATAAAGCATCGATTGATAATAGCACATCTTTAGTTGCGGTGAAGGTTCTAAATGACGACAGTAGGCAGAGTTTCAAAAGCTTAAAAAGGGAATGCCAAATACTGTCTGGAATTAAGCATCGGAATCTGGTTAAATTGATTGGATCGATCTGGAATTCACAGTTCAAGGCTCTTATCCTTGAATTTGTAAGTAATGGAAACTTGGGAAAACATCTTTATCCAAGTGAGTCCGAAGGAGAAAACTGTCGATTGACATTGAAGGATAGATTGGGAATAGCAATAGATACTGCAAATGCCTTGGAGTATCTTCATGTGGGTTGCTCAACTCAAGTCGTGCACTGTGATCTGAAACCACAAAATGTTCTTCTCGACGATGATATGGTGGCCCATGTTGCTGATTTTGGCATCGGAAAGCTCGTTTTTGCTGATAAACCAACTGAGTATTCATCCACTACAAATGTACTGCGAGGATCTGTTGGATATATTCCTCCAGGTATGCATCTGATTGGTTTATTGTGGTGTTTCATCGACCTCCTCTAAATTCTTAGATAAAAAAGGTGGCCTGTGTGAACTAGTCTGTATATTTCTTTCAAAGATTTATTTTACCAAAAAAAAATATATATATATATATATATATATATTATTTTGTTAAAAGTACTTGATGCTTTTGGACAGAATATGGACAGAGTGCTGAAGTATCAGTTACAGGAGATGTGTATAGCTTCGCTATCATGCTTCTAGAATTGATAACAAGGAAAAGGCCAACCAGCGAAATGTTTTCAGACGGGCTTGATCTAAGGAAGTGGGTGAATGCTGCATTTCCTCACCATGTTTTGGAAGTTGTAGACATATCATTAAAGCAGGAGGCACTTTCAGGAGATGCATGTGTTGATTTACAAAAGCTGGAGCAATGCTGTCTTCAAGTGATTAATGTTGGAACGATGTGCACGGAAGAGAACCCATTACGGCGTCCATCGATCTCTTTGATCACAAGAGAGCTGCATCGTACTTGGAAAGAAATGGGATTTGCAGATTGAGCACATACGGTAAAAAATGAAGCATATGATTATGACAATGTCGGATGATGTCAGTGAAATTTAAGGTGTTAAGCTTTTGTTTAGTTATCGTTTCATTATGAAGAATGTGCGTTGTTCATTTTGGATTGCACACAGATGTTGCAATGAGAATATGGTAATTGGTAAGGAAAGTAGAAATCTGTTAATAATTTATTGCAGCAATATTTATCCAGTAAACCGTTTTACGGTGACTTCCTCTATATAAGAGAATTTCTTCAGAATTCAGTCTTTCAATTTGAGATTATTTGCCTGATGTTGAATGCTGCTGAAAACCAAAGTTTAAATGCAAGAACTTCATGCTCCTGGAAAGTGTAAGAGCAAAGAAGGTTATCAGTAATTTTTTCAAGTTAAACGTAAAGGTTGTCACTGCCAAAATTTCTTGTTACTGATAACAAAAATGGCACAAATCAGGTTACGGTGAAGAATTTTACATTGAGCAACAAAATATATAAATCCAAGCTACAAATGTTAGCAAAGGCAAAGAACTTGGTTTCTGCATGGAGGCCCCAAAACAATACCCTGGTGAGAGTAAACTACTATGAAGTTGCTCTCATGAATCAGTTAACTGCCTTGCCGAACGAAGAAGGTCTCTGTTCTGATTTCTCTTCAGCGTTTCCAAATATGGATTTTTATTTTTAAGTCTTTGGGCCGGACACTTCCAGCCCAAGCATTCGGGCCTAGTTGCCACCTGAAATATGCTCGCAGGCCTGGCGTATGCTCGACCCTGCTTTCCCCTCTTCTTTTTCTTCTTCTCCATTTTCCTTTTTATTTTATTTTTCTATTAAATATTATTTTATTATTTGTAATTTTCTCCAAATATTTAATGGTTAACTTTTTATTTTTCTTAAAAAATAAAAAAAAATCATTTTCCATGAATTTGACATTTTATTTTATTTATTTGAAATTAGTATAAAATAATTATTATCGTAAAAAATAAGTGGTCTTCATGCAACTTTATAAAAAAAAAAGTTAATGATTAAATTCCAATTTTTTTTAAAAATAATAGATATAATAATTTATAATCAATCATTCTAAAATTATATCACAAAAAAATTTTATATATATATATAATCACTTATTGTAGATTAACATGGAGAAGAAGAAAAATGCTCTAGCATTTTATAAGAACTTTTCTTTCTCTTTCATTATTTATTATTGCTCAAATATCGTTTTTTGCAAATAATTAAGAGTTATTTTTGTATTTTTCATAAAAATAATAATTATTTTTCATTATTTTTTACTCTCTCTCTCTCTCTTTTGTTTTGCTTATTTTTTTCAGAATTAGTATAAAATATAATCGTTATTGTAAAAAAATAATTATTCTTCATGCAAACTCACAAAAAAAAATGATTAAGGATAAATTTTTTTTTTTTTTTGGTTTACCAAAATCAAAGATATTCATAATCTAGATTTAAACTTCAAAAAACACACAAATACATGATATTAAATACTACTATAAAGCACATATTCAATTAAAAAATTTCCACAATTACAGTTGATTTATTTTAGTTTTTTCTTTTATATCAATTAAGATATTAAACAGAATTTATACTTGTTGCTTGCTGGAACAAAAGTTCATATCAAAGATTACTGATTGTTGTCCTCAGTTCAGACTCTTGGCATGGATACTCCATAGAGTACATGTGAGGACCGTAAAATAATTATCTAGATTACTGTCAAAGAAATTGTTGTTGTTGCCGGTGAGAATGGACAACGGATGATAGCTTCACCTAATTATTTATCACCAAGCATGCAGAGAAAAAAAACACAGCAGCCATTTGCAGATGGGCTCTTCTAGGACATGTGATTAGAATGATTCTTCTTGGAATTCTTAGAAAAATGCAGAAAGAGTCCAAACAGAACCACTTCTGTGTAGCAAATCAAGAAAATTTTTGTTCCAAAATCTCTGCTAAGAAAGAGAAAACGAGAGGATGTCAAACCATCAAAACATCACCATGGCTGCGACAGCGTTCTGTCTCACCCTTCCCCTCATGCCACCGACATCAGCATTTGTTTGCAATTTTACTGATTGTCAAGCTCTTGTGAAATTCAAGGCAGACATTATAAGTGATCCAAAAGGTTATCTCCAAGATTGGAATGAAGCCAACCCCTACTACAACTGGACTGGTATTACGGGTCACCAATCTCTCCGAAGCCGGGTTATAGATCTTGAGCTCATAGACCTTGGCTTACAAGGAAGTATGTCACCATTTCTATCCAATCTTTCTCTTCTCACCAAGCTTTCTTTGCAGGGAAATAACTTCCATGGAGAAATCCCAAGTACCTTTGGACTACTCTGACAGTTAGAATATCTGAATACGAGTGAAAATAACCTCTTTGGTGCCTTTCCGGATTCACTACATAGCTGTCAAAGCTTGAAATTTCTTGACTTGAATTACAACAATCTATCTGGGGTCATTCCTGAAGAACTTGGCTGGATGAAGAAGCTGACATTTTTGGTTCTCTCTCAAAACAACCTCACTGGGGTCATTCCATCCTTAATTTATATCAAACCTGACAGAATTGACACGACTAGAATTAGCTGTGAATTACTTTACTGGTAAAATTCCTGGGGAACTCGGAGCTTTGACCAAGCTAGAGGTTTTGTATTTGCACCGGAACTGTCTTGAGGGAGCAATACCAGCATCGCTAAGTAATTGCACTGCATTACGTAGAATTTCATTGATTGTGAATCGAATGTCAGGAGAACTCCCTGCTGAAATGGGGAACAAGCTCCAAAACTTGCAGAAGGTGTTGTTTCGAGACGACGCTATTTCTGGTAGGATTCCAGTGACATTCTCAAATCTTTCACAAACAACACTGCTTGATTTAAGTTTCAATAACTTAGAGGGTGAAGTTCCAGAGGAATTGGGGAAGTTGAAGAACCCAGGACACCGTCCATCGATCTCTTTGATCACAAGAGAGCTGCAAGCCTGCAACATACTCGGAAAGAAATGGGATTTGAAAGATTTAGAACGTATGCTTAAGCCTGAAGCATATCATTATGACAATGTTTGATGATGTCAGTGAAATTTAAGGTGTTAAACTTTTGTTTAGTTATCATTTCAGTTTTAAGAATGTGCATTCTTCATTTTGGATTGCACGCAAATGTTGCAATGAGAATATGGTAATTGGTAAGGGAAGCATAAAGTAGAAACCTGTTAATAATTTCTTGACCGATTATTTCTTGCGGCAACACTTATCCATTAAACCATTTTAGGATGACTTCCTCTCTATGAGATTATTTCTTCAGAATTCAGTCTTTCAATTTGAGATTGTGTCTGATGTTGAATGCGGCTGAAAACCAGAGTTTGAAAGCAGGAACTTTATGCTCCTGGAAAGCGTAAGAGCAAAGAAGGTTATCAGGAATTTGGCGAGTTACATGTAAAGGTTGTCATTATGAAACTGTTGTGACTTGTGAATGTGCTGCAAATTGATAATATCAATGCATTACTGTCACACAGTCACAGAATGGTACTATTGTAATTAAACCAAAACATTACCTCTGGAAGTATCTGTTGAAAAAACTTGAAACGATTTTGAAGAAAAACAGAATTATGCAATGCTTAATTGCGTGTGGAAAACTAAATAGATTTGTTTTCCCTCCCAATCCTTCAATCAAATATTTGAAAATTTTGTTACAAGTTCACTTTATAAACAGCCTTTCTTTTTCATCTCTTTTTAAAGTAGAATAAAAATCTCACTTGAAAACACTTTCAAACTTCCTTTAAAGTACATTGAACTTATTATTTAACATTCTTAAGATTTCCAACAGTATCTCCTTAGATTGCGAACATCAAATCCCAACTTCTACATCCTCACTGATGTGACATAGTTCCACATGATGAGAGGCTTGGCTAGCGGTATATGTAACTGTGACTATCGCCTAATTGTGGTACCAGTCTTCTCGAACGAAGAGAACTTATCATTAAAAAGAAAACTATGAATGAAGAGCACTGCAGGCAATAAGGAATGGATGCGTTAGTAATGTGCCAGATCATCCGATAGGTCAGATGCAATTTTCTCTACATTTCCCAACTTCTGACGCAGACGAGGCACTAGCTTGGCCTTACTGCCGGACTGCAGAAGGCAGGCAGCTAAAACATGAAGAAAACACACTAATCAGTTTGCTTCTATTTCTTCAAATCATTACAAGAAGCTAAATGTAAACTAGAATATAAAGCACTGCCATATATTTCGCGAGCTGCCGCAAGAGAACCACACAGTATTTTAATGTGTTAATTCATATAACATATTAAGTTCAAAACAATTATTTAAAAAGATCACATAAAAAAAAATTAAGAAAATAGAGGGACCAAAGCATGTATCTCGTGTGTTGCTGTGGGATTAGCTAAAAGAAAAAGCTGTGAAGTTAAACAATATAATATTAATAATTAGATGTTATTTGATACAAACATATATTTTATTGAAAATATGTATAATAATTGATAATTAAATTAAATAATGATATGATAGTTTTTTGAATTTTGAATTATTGACTTACACTATATGTTTTTCATATGTAGTTTGTTAATAAGATATAGCGAAACCACCCAAAAAAAAAACTTTGTTAAATCGGGATAAAATTAAAATAATTCAATACCTATTTGGTAAAAGATAAGGATAAAAATTATATATGATAAAACTTAAATGATTAAAACAAAATAAATATCATAAAATAATAACCAAAATAAAAATAAAAGAAACTTTTACTAAAAGGTAAAAAGGATTACGAACAATAAGACTAAAAAAAACTCATTATGCATAAGGCAATAACAAAAAGTCAAATATTATAAAAAATTTAATGATCCAAATGAAGAAAAAAATACAGAATATGAACCAAAACCGAAAGAAAAGTTTCCCTAAAAAAACTTAGAATAGTAAAACCGTATTTGTTTTTAGTGTAATAAGAATAAAAATCAAACATAATAAAAAAAATCACAAAATAAGGACCAAAATAGAATCAAAAGTTTCACTAAAAGTCAAAAAATGCTCTTTATAGGGACAAAACTTTAATATAATAAAAATTTAATGACCAAAATAAAAAAATTACAAAATAAGGACTAAAACAAAAAAATTTACTAAAAGCTAAAAATTTAATGATCAAAATAAAAAAAAGATTACAAAATAGGGACTAAAACAAAATTTTCTTTTACTAAAAGCCAAAAAGGGCTTGGCACCAGAAATCCATAGTAGATTACTTATCATTCCTGCAAAAACCTTTTCCTTCTCAACTCAATATCACTGAATTTGATACAATTACTTCTGCTGCAGCTATAAAGCATAATTTTAGGTATAGATAGATACTTGCACAGATGAAAGAATGACCCTATGCACTGATAAATATTTGAAAATACTAAATTAACTCTATCCAATTTGACTGATACAGATTAAAAACTCAAGCAATATTCTTTCAGTTTGTGGAACAGAACATGCATTGAAATACTATTTTCAAGCTTATGACATGGTAATTCAACCAATATTCATGTGTGCAACGAGCCCTCATGCCTTCACTAATTCTTCTTCACCTGGAACTGCAAGGGTGGCATCTCAAGGTTGGTCTGATCAGATATTTTCTTGATATAATCCTGTAGAATGGAATTAAATGCCGGTGCCAATAGAGGACATTAATTCTTCTAACATTTTCGGTCTTAGAAGTAAGTATTTGTTTAACCTGGGGAAGGCTAAGACTACCAAGTTTAGTTAAGCTTTATTCATTAAGTTACACATTCACAGAGAATTATATTAGCAGAATTACTTGGCAGGAAACTATTTTTCACAGTGCCTGGAAAATTTTGCTGACGCAGTATGGGCTCTTCGAATGGATGTATGATGTATCAAGCTGTATGTGCTCAATTTGTCCATAGACATTTATTAAGAATTTAGCTAATTTTATTATGTATTAATCCATGTTGTTTTCTTGATTTTGGCACCGAAAATTGACTTCGTCCAACACAAAACTTTGAAGAACTTATAGAGACCAACTAACCGGTTGTCCGCACTATGCCGCGGATCCGATAAAACAAAATCTTTTTAAAATTTAAAATTTTTCTAATTGTAGGTTTTTATTTAATTAAAATTTTTTCATGTTTTTCATAAATTTTCTGCTAAAAAAAAACATAAATCATGCATCTTTATAGATTGATTTTAAAAATAAAATATTGTAATAGCTTTAAATAAAATGTTAATCAAGAATTAAAAAAAAAACCTTAAAAACATATTTTTCATAATATTATATTTCAAAAAAATTAAATTATAATTAATTGTTAAAGTTTTATAAAAATTAACAAATGAAAAAAAATTATTTAATGCTGATTAGAAGATTAATTTTTTAAATTACCCGCAAGCAGATAAAACAAAATCATTTTAAAAATTTTATGATTTTTTTCACTAATTTTTTATTTAATTATTACTATTTTGTTGTGCGTACTTTTCATAAAATTTCTAGTCAAAAAAACATAATTTATTCTTCTTTATTCAAGGATTTTTAAGTAAAAAGCTTACAATAATTTACACCTAAAACGTTAATTAAGAATTCAAAAATAAATACTTTAAAAATATTTTTTTTATAAGAATGTATTCAAAAAATAAAATTACAATTAATGTATAGACTTGCATAAAAATTAACTAATGAAAAAATAAAATTTTATTCTTATTTAATGTTGGTGAGAAGATTGTTTTTTAAAAGTGTATGCATTTGATCTTTATATATTTATTTAAAAAATAATCAATAAAATTAGTATTTAAAAACTATATTTGAATAATGAGTTGGTTTCTTTAAAAAAATTATGTTAATTATTTTATTTCAAATAAATTGGTTCTATAATGTTAAAAAATATTCATAGTAAATAAATTACATTATGTTGGAAGATGTATGGTTAATTTTTATTAAAAAAAATGATTAAATGGTTTTTTTTATACGTCTTGACCATACCTATTGAACTGAAATAAATTATTTGAAATATACTTTTAACCTCTTAGAATAAAATATTTATATATTTATATATATGCAACTATCATTTAAAATTTATAATAATTCATGATATATATTATACTAATTTATTTTTTGAAAAAGAAAAATAATCGTGTTTTAAAATTTTATTTTAAAATTCAAACATAGAGAAAAATAAATTATATTTATTAGTAAATAAAATTTTATATAAAAACATATTAATTGGATGAGAGTTTTAATAAAAAATGATAAATTCAAAGAATAAAATTTAAATAATAAAAGTAATATAACCTAAAGTATATGTTAATTTTAATACACACACGCACACACACACACGCACACACTTGCGTGAAAATGAAAGAAAAATGAAAGCCGAGGATTGAAAAAAAAAGTTACAACATAAGGGACATAAATAAGAAAAGTGTTAAATTTGCATATTAATGCCCAAAAACATTAAAAAAAAAAAACAACACACAAAAGTTATTTAAATTGCCATCAAGTAATTAAATAGTAATTTTATGCATATGAAGAGTAAGTGAATATGAATTTTAAGTATATAAAGAGTTTGAATTCTCGCCTTATGTCGCGGATCGAACTAAACATATTTATTTCAGTTTGATAACATGTGCTATATTGTCGATTGATTAAAATATATTAAATTAAATATAAAATATAAAATTTTATCTCATTTTATAATTTTTAATCAAAATTTTGTATCTATATTTTTTTTTATGTTTTGAATAAATTTTAAAGTCAAAAAAATATAATTTGTTCTTTCTTATGCATTTATTCTTAAATAAAAACCCATAATAAACAAATTTAAAAAAAATATATCTTAATATTTTTTTCATAACATTGCATTGAAGAAATAAAACAACAATTAATATAAAAATTTGTAGGAAAATTAACAAATAAAGTTTTTTTAATGATGAAAAGATTATTTTTTAATATGTGCATTTGATGTATATATACTTATTTAAAAAATAATGAATAATATTAGTATACAAAATTGTATTTGAATTATTAGGCGAGTTATTCTAAAATATTATTTTAATTATTTTATTTAAAAAATTAATTTTAAAATTTTAAAAATAATAGCAAATAGTTGGTATTGTATATGTAAATACATAGTTGATTTTTAATAAAATCATTGACTCTAATATTATTATTTTTTATACATCATGACTCGTACTCATTGAGTGATAATGTATACAATAAATTATAAACTATTTTTAAAAAATAAATTATAAAATATATGTTGAAGTTAATAGAGTACAATAAAAAATATAAAATAGATTTCAATAAAATTTGATTATATAAAGCATAAGAAAATAAAATACATATATTCTATTTTTAAAATTTGATTATATAAGAATTAAGAAAATAAAAATAGGTATAAAAAAACTTATTCGAGTCCATACATAGAGAAAATAAATCATATTTATTAATAAATAAAATTATATAAAAATAAGAATAAAAATTAAGTTGATGTGAATTTTTATAATAAATCAAAAAGACCAATTTTAAACAATAAGAGTAGTATATATTTATTCTAAAATCTAAAAACATATCGTATATATTATATAATCTTCAGTTTGTGTGAAAAAAAATAACGATTGAATTTTAAAAATTTTAACACCCGAGTTAAATACAAAAATAGAACATAAATTGATGAAAAAAATCAAAGAAAAAAACTAAAAACAAAAAGCATGGTACCGCATCAATTAAGGGATTAAAATTTTAATTTTAAAATTCTAGGAACCGAAATGAAACAATGTAGAAATTACAAAAAAAAAGAAGGTGAATAGTGCTTTTATGAGGGGGTGAACAAGTGAAACTCACTCGTTTAAGTATATTTTATACAATCGTCGGCTTGTGTGAAAAAAATAACGATTGATTTTTCAAAATTTTAACACTCGTTAAATAAAAAAAAGCATAAATTGATGAAAAAAATCACAGAAAAAAACCAAAAAAAAAAAACATTTGTACTAAATCAATTAGGGGATTAAATTTTTTATTTTAAAATTCTAAGGACTAAAATGAAACGATTTAAAAATTATATAAAAATGGGTGAATAGTGCTTTGTGAGGGATGAATATTGAAACTTACGAGTTCATCTGTTCAAACACCCCACCTCCTTTAGTTATACTAGTTAGATACCCATAATATACTACGTTCAAACAACCATTATATATACAGGATTAACGATTCGTATAATGTTATTCGAGTAGATGTTACGTTTCCGGAGATTAATGTAAATCGATTCTATATATTAAGCGAACTTATTTGATTTATATATATTTATTAACAAAATAATTTATAATATTAGTATAAAAATTTGTATTTGAATAATTAAGAAGTTCTTTCAAAACATTAATTAAATTATTTTATTTAAAAATATAGATTTTAGAACATGAAAAAAATAAATAATAAATAATTGGTGTTATGTGTGCAAATATAATTAATTTCTAAGAAAAATATATACATATATATCGTATTTAGCGGATTCGAGTATATAAAATAAATAAAAAAATATATAAAAAAAACCACTTAAATCACATAGAATATATCGAAGTAAATAGATTTAAATAAAAACTACTATAAAATTGGTTTTAATAAATTCTAATTATATATATATATATATATAACCACATAAAACCCGTGACTTTTTTAACTAATTATTAATTTAAAAAAAAAATTGAGCCAAATTATTTTTTTAACTGATTATTATTTAAAAAAAATTAAGTCAAATTATCTAAAACACACCTTTAGCTCTCTCTCTCCCTCATCGGAATTTATATATGATAAAACTATATATATATCGTACTTAACGATTCGTAGTATATAAAATATAAAAAAAAACCTTAATTAAATCACATGAAATATATCGAAGTGAAAAGATTTAAGTCAAATTATATAAAACACACTTTTAGTTCTCTTTCTCATCAGAATTTATATATGCAACTACGTTATTCTCATTTAAAAATCATAAAAATAATCAATCGTATGACTTATAATAATATATTTTAAAAAATAAAACAATCATGTTCTAAAATTTTATTTAAAAGCCATATATATAAAAAAAATCAAATTTATAAACGAACAAAATTATATAAAATTAAAAAATAACTCGATAAGATTTTCAATAAGAAATAAACAATTGAAGAAATAAATTTTAAATAATTATAATATTTCAAACTAAAATCTTAAAAAATATAATATATATTATATTATCATCAAACTCGTACATAAAGTTAAAAAAAATAACGATTTTTTTTTATATTTTCACACCTAATTTCATGATAAAAAAAATATAAAAAAAATTATTTATATATAAGCGAATAATTTTCATACGAGAACATATAGAAATCGAAAATCAATACTCCTTTTTTTTCTCAATTGCCACTAGCCCAGCCTAAAAAAAAAAAAAAAAAAGCCAGCCCCTAAAAAAAGAAAATGCTATAGCGAATAAACAGTAGAAACCGAAAACCAAGCAACCCAGCTCTGGAAAAAAAAAAAGAGAAATGCTACAGTGAATGGAAATAAATAAATAAATAAATAACGTTATATAATCAAGTTTATTTAGAATCGAATGAAAAAGGTTGAAAAAATTAACAGAGCATCATTAAATTGCATTAAATGGCGCAGCCAAGAAGGAACAAATCTGTCATGACCCGGGCCTCTACCACCGCGAACTGCCTTTGACGAAAGAAAGAAAATGAGCAAAAAAAATCAGAAGGGACAAAAGAAGCATTGAAACAAATATCAATAATAGAGCATTAACACAAGGCATTAAATGACGTAGCCAAGAAGGAAGTAACGATGGAGATGGAAAGAGCAAGGCAAAGCAGAAGTGCATGAATCGAACCACGGAGATGAAGCAAGAAGCCAGCACAGTGCAGCTAGTCACAGTCCACAATGACTATGAGTGTAGAGATGAGATAGTTGAATAGTGAAGACTTTAGGTGTTTTAGTTTTCTAAGTAATAGCAATGGTAAAGTAATATTAAACAGGTTGGACTTGATTATTATGGCTTGCCATGACCGATGTTCATATTATTAATTACTCATTGGGTTGACCTAATAATTGATCACCAAGCTGCAGGTAGGGAAAAAATGCCTACTAGGGCACGAGGTTTGACTAATTCTTCTTGGAATCCTTTAAATATTAAGTTAATATCACAGTAAAAGTCTTATAAAAAAAAGCAGCAAGAGTCCGAGCAGAACCACTTTTGTGTCTGAAAATCAAGAAAATGCAAAATCTCTGCTAAGAAAGAGAAAGAGAGGATGTCACACAATCAAAAATTCACCATGGCTGTGACAGTGTTCTGTCTCATCTTTTCTCTCATGCCAGCAACATCAGCATTTGTTTGCAATTTTGCTGATTGTCAAGCTCTTCTCAAATTCAAGGCAGGCATAATAAGGGATCCAAAAGGTTATCTCCAAGATTGGAATGAAGCCAATCCCTTCTGTAACTGGACTGGTGTTACGTGTCACCAATCTCTCCAAAGCCGGGTTATAGATCTTGAGCTCATAGACCTTGGCTTACAAGGAAGTATATCACCATTTCTATCCAATCTCTCTCTTCTCACCAAGCTTTCTTTGCAGGGAAATAACTTCCATGGAGAAATCCCAAGTACCTTGGGACTACTCTCACAGTTAGAATATCTGAATATGAGTGAAAATAACCTCTTTGGTGCCTTTCCGGCTTCACTACATGGCTGTCAAAGCTTGAAATTTCTTGACTTGAATTACAACAATCTATCTGGGGTCATTCCTGAAGAACTTGGCTGGATGAAGAAGCTGACGTTTTTGGTTCTCTCTCAAAACAACCTCACTGGGGTCATTCCATCCTTTTTATCAAACCTGACAGAATTGACACAACTAGAATTAGCTGTGAATTACTTTACTGGTAAAATTCCTGTGGAGCTTGGAGCTTTGACCAAGCTAGAGATTTTGTATTTGCACCTCAACTTTCTTGAAGGAGAAATACCTGCAGCGCTAAGTAATTGCACTGCATTACGTGAAATTTCGTTGATTGAGAATCGAATATCAGGGGCACTCCCAGCCGAAATCGGGAAGAAGCTCCAAAACTTGCAGAAGGTGTATTTTACAAACAACAATATTTCTGGTAGGATTCCTGTGACCTTCTCAAATCTTTCACAAATAACACTGCTTGATTTGAGTCTCAATTACTTAGAGGGTGAAGTACCTCGGGAATTGGGGAAACTGAAGAACCTTGAGATCCTTTACCTTCATAGCAACAACCTGGTTAGCAATTCTTCTCTCAGTTTTCTTACTGCTCTCACAACCTGTTCATTTCTGCGGAAACTGCACTTAGGGTCATGCTTATTTGCTGGAAGTTTACCAGCGTCCATTGGCAATCTTTCAAAAGACCTGTATTATTTCAATCTTTTGAATAACCGTATAAGAGGAGAGATTCCAGATAGTATTGGCAACTTGAGTGGCCTTGTGACCCTTCATCTGTGTGACAACCAATTAGACGGAACAATTCCAGCAACTTTTGGAAAGCTGAGGCAGTTGCAAAGACTGTATTTGGGGAGAAACAAGCTTCAAGGTTTTATTCCAGACGAAATGGGGAAGATGGAAAACCTTGGTTTGCTTGATCTTGGTGATAATTCCATAACTGGGCCAATCCCATCTTCACTTGGAAAGCTCTCACAGTTGAGATACCTTGTCCTATCTCATAACAGCTTATCAGGAAATATTCCCATCAAACTAAGCCAGTGCTCTCTCATGATGCAGCTGGATGTATCCTTTAACAACTTGCAGGGTCCTCTTCCCACAGAAATTAGTTTTTTTGCTAACTTGGGTCTCTCCCTCAACCTTTCAAATAACAATCTAGATGGGGAGATACCTGCAAGTATTGGAAAGCTGGAATCTGTACAAGCTATTGACTTATCAGTGAACAAATTTTCTGGCAGTATACCAAGTTCAATTGGAAGTTGCGCAGCTTTGGAGTACTTGAACCTCTCCAAGAACATGATTGAAGGTACAATTTCAGAGTCTTTGAAACAAATTGTATATTTGAAAGTTCTGGACTTGTCTTTTAATCAATTAACAGGCAAGGTTCCAATCTGGCTTGCCAATGACTCGGTGATGGAGAATTTTAATTTGTCTTATAATAGATTATCAGGAGAAGTTCCAAGGACGGGAAGGTTTAAAAATCTTACTGGAAGCTCATTGATAGGAAATGCAGGCTTGTGTGGTGGTTCTGTACAAATGAGACTCCAGCCGTGTGTAGTTCAAAAGAAAAGGAGGAAGTTAAGGAAATGGGCCTATTATTTGCTTGCAATTACAATTAGTTGTTCTTTATTGATCTTGATATTTGTCGTGTTCTTTGTTCGACAATTCTTCTTTAAGAAGAAAGCTGATGCGGAATCTGAAGAACTTATTTTAATGGCTTCTCCATCCTATCATGGAGGCCGGACTTTCACTCAAAGAGAGCTTGAGATTGCAACCAATGGTTTCAGTGATGCCAATCTCTTGGGGAGAGGAAGCTTTGGATCTGTTTATAAAGCATCGATTGATGATACCGTATCTTTTGTTGCGGTTAAGGTTCTAAATGAAGACAGTAGGCAGAGTTACAAAAGCCTAAAAAGGGAGTGCCAAATACTGTCCGGAATTAAGCATCGGAATCTGGTTAAAATGATTGGATCAATCTGGAGTTCACAGTTCAAGGCTCTTATCCTTGAGTTTATAGGTAACGGAAACTTGGAACAACATCTTTATCCAAGCGAGTCCGAAGGAGAAAACTGTCGATTGACATTGAAGGAAAGATTAGGAATAGCAATAGATACTGCAAATGCCTTGGAGTATCTTCATGTGGGATGCCCAACTCAAGTAGTGCACTGTGATCTGAAACCACAAAACATTCTTCTCGATGATGATATGGTGGCCCATGTTGCTGATTTTGGCATCGGAAAGCTCATTTTTGCTGATAAACCAACTGAATATTCTGCCACAACAAGTGTTCTGCGAGGATCTGTAGGTTATATTCCTCCAGGTATGCATCCGATTGGCTTGTGTTAATGATTCAATGCCTCGCGTAAACTATTCTGCATACTTCCTTTACCCAGTGCATTAAGATTTATCTGACAGGGATGCATATTTTCTATTTTGTTTTACTTTGGTAACAATACTTGTTGTTTGTGTACAGAATATGGACATAGTACAGAAGTATCTGTTAGAGGAGACGTATATAGCTTCGGGATCATGCTGCTTGAATTGATAACACGGAAAAGACCAACCAACGAAATGTTTGCAGATGGGCTTGATCTAAGGAAGTGGGTGAACGCTGCATTTCCTCACCGTATTTTGGAAGTTGTAGACATGTCCTTAAAGCAGCAGGCACTTTCAGATGCAAGTGGTGATTTCCAAAAGTTGGAGCAATGCTGCCTTCGAGTGCTTAATGCAGGGATTATGTGCACAGAAGAGAACCCACTAAGGCGTCCACCGATCTCTTTGGTAACAGGAGAGCTCCAGCATATTTGGAACGACATGGGATTTGACAGATTAAGCATGACTGGAAAAGAACCAATGACAGTGTTTGATGATGACACTGAAATTTAAGGTGTTCAAACTATTGTTTAGTTATCATTCCATTATGAAGAATGTGTATTCTTCATTTCGATTGCTCATAATCGTTGCAATGATAAAATTAGAAGGAAAGCATAAAGTAGAAGTGTGTTTATACTTTATAGTGTCTTGACAGATTATTTCTTCCTGCAATATATATAAATTACTCATTTTTATGACGACCTCCTCTCCATAAGATTATATCTTCAGAATTCAGTATTTCAAATTGAGATTATTTGTCTTTTGTTCAATGAGGCTGAAAACCAGAGTTTATGCAGGAACTTTATGCTCCCGGAAAGTGTTAAGAGCAAAGAAGGTTATCATGAATATTTCAAGTTACGAGTAAAGGTTGACGTTGCCAGAATTTCTTAATACTGACAACTAAAAAGGGAAAAACTTTGGTTGCCGGTGAAGAATTTTATATTGCACAATGTATAAATCCATGCTACAAATATTAGCAAGGGCACAAAACTTGGTTTCTGCATGCAATACTCCAAATCAATGTCCCTGATGACAGGAAACTACTTTGAAATTGCTCTCATGAATCGGTTAAGTGAAGAGAAAATGCCTGCTGCCTTGCTGAATAAAGAAGGTCCCTCCTCTGATTTCTCTTCTGCATTTCCAAATACAATCTGCGTAGAATCAAACCAAAATCAGTAATAAATATATATAATTTTTCAATAGAATCTTATTTTTCCCTGTTAATCCAGTGCAGGGACTTCAAAACTTTGTGGTGGTAACTAACCTCAATTTCTTCAGCATCAGGACGTCGTATGAATTCTTGGGCAAGAAGATATCTATTTGGCCTATCTTTATCGTCATAAAAGACCTTCCACATCCTAGAAATGATTAGAGCAGAGAGAATGAGGAGTGCCTTTATCAGAGAGGAAACATGACTGAATATTGTATATAACTAAGACCAAAAGGTTCCTAGAGGTGGAAATGTTCGGAATAACAAATGGCTCTTACCCTGGATAACACCGAAAGACAGCACCGGCTGGCAGAGGTCTCATTGAATAAACTGTTGTGAATGTACTGCAAATAGATGGGATACAATACATTACTGTCGCAGAATCAAATAATACTGCAATTTTTCTTAAGTCAAGACTCAAAACATTACCTCAGGAAGTATCTCCTTAGATTGCGAACATTAATCCCAACTCCCACATCCTCACTGATGAGACGCGGGTTCCACATGATGAGAGGCCTTGGCTAGCAATAAATGAGGAAGTACCATCAGAAAAACAAACCTTCCTAGCTTGAGGTGTATGATCAAGATGAAGAAAAGAAAGAAAGAAGTGCATCAAATGGTTTAATAACTTGTGCAAAATGCCTACTTCTAACTATGACCGTGACTATCACATAATTTTGGTGCCAGACATCTTAAACGATAAGAACTTATCATTAATATTAACAACATGAATGACGAGCATTGCATGCAACAAGGAATGTATGTGTTAGTAATGTACCGGATCATCTGATAGATAAGATGCGATTTTCTGTACATTTTCCAACATCTGATAATCAGGAACAACCATTACCACAATCTCATCTTCACTCTGAATGGGCTTTCGGTCACTTAAGCTGTAAAACAGCAAGGCACAAAATTTCAGACATAAATGCAAGAACGTGAATTAATTCAAACAAGGGTGGAACCTTTAAAAAACAGATTCATATTTAAGAGGAACAAGTATGATGCTCTTTCACTGCAGTTAAATAAATATCCAATGCAATAAAATTAGATGCAATTGGACAACGTAGATTTAATAAACTGAATACTTAGAGGATTTTCATCAAGATGGTGGAAATTACCTCGCAAATCCAAAAGCTGCATCTTTCCACTGGTATTTTAGAAGTGCAGCAGCACCAGCATCTGGAAAAATGGCTCTGATTCTCTGAATATTTAATATTTGCAAGCAAGGTTCAGATAAAGTACATGATGGCCAAAGTTATATACGGAAGTAATCATGCACCATTAACTATCAATCTTTCCCTCTAGCAATTAATCATCCTTAGAGTCCATAATTTTGTTGATTAGTGTAGTGTTAAAAGCATGACTTTTGTTAAGAAGTTGATTTAAAAATTAAGGCTTTATCCAACATTTCATGAATCTTTTAAAGCATGAATCTACCTGACTTCCTGTTTCTTCAATAAGTGTATCCAAGAAAGTCCTTGACAGTTCCCAGAGCTCAGCTTGTGCACCTTCATCATCTAGAAACTGAAGCTGAGGAATTAAGAGCTCGACCTGGAAAGAGTTAGGGGGTTAAAAAATAGTTGAAAGGTAAAAAGGAAAAATAAAATAAAATAAAATGGAGAAAACTAAGTGATTCAATTAGAATTAGTGCAAGATTTTTCTCCACCACAACAGAAGTTCAAGAATCAGATAGTTCCCCTTTTAAAGTTGCAGTCAAAGTGAAATGGGCCATACCCTATATTTGCTCAACCTGGACAGATTGAAAGCTAAATTTCTCTTTTTGATTAAAAAGGTTGATTGATGTGAAGCTCAGTAATAGGAGACAGTTCAGGATTTGCAAAAAGGTTCAAGACTGAAGTACCTAGTTTCAGCAATACAATAATGTTTCATACTCTCTCTTAGGACTCTTATACCTGGGTTTGGAGAGATATAGCCTATCGAAAGGTTCCATAGAACAAATTAAGGTTTTTGGTTTCTTGATTACGCCAAACTAGACTGTAAGGATGGAGCTATCGAAAAATTACACTGTAAAAAAACAACAAAGTAATTCCAAACAGAGATGATCTCAACTTCAACTAATAAGATTACATTTCCATATGTCACATACTATGGCTCTCATTCCTCCCGAAGACACAAACAAGGCACTAGCTTGGCTAGATTGCCGGACTGCACCCTCCAAGTCAGAAGGCAGGCAGCTGAAACATGAAGAAAATACCATCAATCAGTTTGCTTTCATTTCTCCAAAGTATATAAACCATTACAACTCACTAAACATGAATGCTGAAAGATCTCATACCACCAATCCACTTAACTTTGCTTAATAAGGTATAACATAATGGACTAGAAATCCAAAGTGATTGCATATTTTTCATGTAGAAAACCTTTTCCTTCCCTGCTTGATATCAAGGAACTTAAACAAATTGCTTCTAGTGCAACTAGAAAGCACCATTTTCTGGATAGATCAACGCATACACAGATGAAACAATGACTCTATGGCACCCATAAATGTTCGAAAATGCTAATCAAGTATAGCCAATTTAACTGATTCAAATTTAAGGCTCAACATTGTTCTAGTTAGTAGAACAGACAATGCATTGAAATACTATTTTCAAGCTTATGACATGGAAATTCAACCAATTCCAACCTCACTAAAACTGCAGGCTTAAGCTGATAGGTCATGCATAATTTCCACTTCCCGTGTTGTGTTCAACTCATATTACTCTAGCATTTAAGGAGTAATCAGCACAAGGTAGAAAATGATTACAACAAGAATATGTCCAAATTAACCTCACAATTCATCCATTGTGGACCATCTATTGAGAAAATCACAGAGAACTGATTAACACAATTAACCAATGTCAGTTGCTGGATCAACTCAATGAACAAAAGGGTATTGTTATAGTTTGCATCTCTACATGAATTAAGTGTTATGCTCAATCAACTTTTAGGTAAAAGCAAAAGCAGCCGAAAACAAGAAGGAAGATGATTGAACAAACTGAATTACCTGTCATCTTCTTCTTCTGGAACTGTTTGTGCCTGTTCCTGTAACTCTGTGGCCTCTTCAAGATTATCTTGAGAAGCATCCCCTTCGAATTTCTCAAACTTTGCCAAGATTCTTGATGAGCTTCTTCTACTTAGTGAAATCCCACTAAAGATAGTGTGCGAAAAAGATAAGGTAAAGTGAGTGGTGGAAGTCGAGTTGTTTGGTATTAGTGGTGGTGCAGTATAGGAGTAGAAGGAGCAGCTTGGGATTGAAGTAGCCATTGAAGCTAACTTAACTATCAACCGCCGAACTGCTTAAGACATGGATTTTTCTCTGACTTTTTAGGGAGCTACGAGGCTGTTTATTTTTTATTTATTTCTTCCTTTTTCTCTTTGTTGCTAATTAAATAAGCTTTGTCTTAATGAATTATTTGGAGACAGAGAAGACACAAACCGATTAAATTATAAATTAGTCCCTCTAGTTTTTCAAAAAGAATTAAATAGTCTTTCTGGTTTTAATAACTAATTAATTAGTCCCTTTTTGAAAATAAATTCATAACTTATCCTTTACATTCTTTTTTGTTTTTCTTTAATAAATAGAAAAATAATTTAAAAAATATGAAAAGATAAATTGATGTTTTCTTTTTCTTTTTCTTTTTTTTCATTTCAAATAATTAAATATTTTTGGATCATTTTTTGCATAATAAATTTATGCTCTTTTTCAATAAAGTTTTACACAAATGGTATATTTATTATAAATTTCTAAGTAAATTTACTTATTACAATTAACAATACGTTTTTGAAAAATAAAATAAAACAAAATAAAGTTACTAATGGGCCTTGATCTGTTACCGTATGAGGCTACACCAAATAAACCCAAAACAGAAGGCCCAAAACATTGAAACCCAAAATCCTTCTTTCAAATCAAATTGAAACGCTCCATCCCTTCCATTTCCTAACCTAAGCAAATTATATAGCCGTTAGAAAGCAAGAAACAGCTCTCCTTAATCCAACGGCTATCAAATCTCACCCTCTCAATTCAAACTTCAAATTCCCAATTTTAAACCCTACATTCCTCTCTCTCAAAAAATCTTTTACTTCTCTAACTCTCTCTCTAAATTTTAAAGGCCAAGAAAATGACTGGTACGATCTCTCTGGCTTGAATTCTTGATCATTTGTTTATGATTCTTGATTGATAGATCGAAATTGTTCAATTTGTCTCAGATCTGACGGTAGAAATGATCGAAGAGATCTGCGATCGTATCCAGACCGTTCAAATTTCTGATTCCAACCATTCTCTCTCTTCTACCACAGGTTTATCTCTCTCTCTCTCTCTCTCTCTCAAGAAAATAGCTTCTGTTTCTTTAAAAATATTTGTTTGAAATTGCAGTCAAATTTAGGTTTTTGTTTGATTTTGGTTGTCTTTCTTTAAAATTTCAGTTGAATTCGCTAAGGATAAGAAATGCGATACAGGTTCGGGTTTCTATTTGATTTTTTTTTTTTTTTTTGAAATAGTAAAGATTATTTATTTGAGTGTTGTTTATCTCTATGTTTAGTTTTTGTTTCAGAGGAACTCACAGAGACTGAAACTATCGGAGAAGGTATGTGAATTTTGTGATTTTGTTTGTTATATTTCATTTCAGTACTTTTATTTTGAAGAAAACTTTAAATTGAGTCTTTTCTTTTGACTTTCTTTTGTTCAAACCTAGAAATTGTAGTTGTGAATTAAGTGATCGCTTTTATTTTTTATTTTTTGAATTCAATTGACGATGTCTTTCTACTTTTAGGGTTTCTAAGATGCCCAAATAATTATTTGCTTTTTTTTCATAAAATTTAATTAAGAAAAAAAAGTTAAATTGAGGCACATTCGGCAGTAGTACAGTAGACATGTGTGTTTTGTTTAGAAAATGTTTTGATTCAAAACTTTAGCGTTCTTTTAATTTTAATTTTAATGGGTTTTTTAAAAAACAAATTGAATTGTCAGGAGAAACTATTAATTCGGAGGAAGATAGCATGTATCGCAGAAACAGAGAAGTTTCTCCAACTCAGGGGCCCACGCTGCCAATTTTGCAGAAAGTTATCCATTTGAGTAATAAAATTCAGGTACAACTTTGAGCTGTATAGATAATATAATGGTTAGGGATGGTATGAATTGAAGACTGGTTTTAGTAGAATTCAGACAAGTTTTAAAATTCCTGTTTTTGAACTTATCAGAGACTACAAAAACATTGTTTTTGCCAGTAAACTAGGATTTTGCATTAATTATGCTGATGGGCAGTGTTTGTTATTTTAGAATTTGAAGAAAGAACACGCTAGTCTCTCTGATCAAGTAAAGACTGCTAAAGATTCTTTTCCTGGTCCAGACATTTTCGACAGTTTTCAGAAATTCAGTGAGTATTTAATTGTGAAATTGACTTTGGTGTTTTTTTTTTTTTCAAGTTTTAGTATTTACTTGTTGGAATATTGGTGACAGGTTATGAATATGAACTTCTAAAGAAGAAATATTTACAAGAGTTGTCTGAGAGGAAACGACTTTACAATGAAGTGATCGAGCTTAAAGGGAACATCAAGGTCTTCTGTAGATGTAGGCCACTAAATCAAGTCGAAATTACAAACGGTTCTAACAATGTAGTCGAATTCGACTCCTCTCTAGATAATGAGCTGCACATCATTTCCTCTGATTCTTCCAAAAAGCAATTTAAGTTCGACCATGTTTTTAGGCCTCAGGATAACCAAGGTAATCTGAGTTTTAATATTTTGATACTTTACGGAACTTGTTAAATGTTATTTGCTTTACTGAAGCATCTAATCTTTTATCTTAATGACATGCAGAGGCTGTTTTTGCCCAAACTAAACCGATAGTCACGTCAGTGTTGGATGGCTACAATGTCTGTATATTCGCCTATGGGCAAACTGGAACTGGAAAGACGTTTACCATGGAGGGCAATCCAGAAAATAGGGGAGTCAACTACAGAACATTGGATGAGCTGTTCCGACTTTCTCATGAAAGAAGCAGTGTTATGAGATATGAGATATTTGTTAGCATGTTGGAGGTTTACAATGAGAAGATAAAGGACCTCTTGGTTGAAAACTCTGACCAACCACCTAAAAAGTTAGTTTGAATTTTTATTGTTCCTGCATTGCCCTGTTAATCAAAATGTGTTCATTCATGTCAAATTCGTTTGTTGCAAAGAAAATTTTATAGCATAATTTGCTACAACGCTGATTTATCATTCTACTTTGCTGCTTGATGAGGGAAATTAATTATTATAAGTGTGTCATGCTTATGACTAATTGCCAAGAAAAGTAGACTATGGAAATTATTCATTAGCAGGATTTTCTTTTGGGTTCTTTTTTTTTTTTTTGGCAAATGATAACAGATAATGAAATGTGTTAGATGCATGAAGGTTGATGAAATTTAGTTTTGTCTATGCATTCGTGAAGGTTGGAGATAAAGCAAACAGCTGAAGGAACACAAGAAGTCCCAGGACTTGTGGAAGCTCGGGTGAATGGCACAGAGGATGTGTGGGAGTTACTCAAATCTGGAAGTCGTGCTAGATCTGTTGGATCTACCAGCGCTAATGAGCTTAGCAGCCGTTCTCATTGGTAACAATGCACTTGCTGCTTTCTTTTTCTTAGTTTATTTCTTTGTAAAAACCAATGTTTTGTGAAAATTGATTCTATAAGGTCAAGTGTTTTTTGGATTGATGAATACCCCACTATACAAGAATCAAGTCAATGGTTATACTAAAGACCACAATATTGTTGCCTTGCAGTTTGGTGCGAGTAACGGTAAAAGGAGAGAATTTAATAGATGGGCAGAAGACAAGGAGTCACCTTTGGATGGTCGACTTGGCTGGTAGTGAGCGTGTGGGAAAGATTGATGTTGAAGGTGAAAGATTGAAGGAATCACAATTCATTAATAAATCTCTTTCAGCACTCGGGGACGTTATTGCAGCTCTTGCATCCAAAACTGGTCACATACCCTACAGGTATCTCATACACACTCTTGTAAAGCTAGCATCCAATACTCCTGTAAACCTACTATCCAATTATCATACTAAAATGATTTATTCTTTTTGCTTATCAGGAACTCAAAGCTGACTCATATGCTACAGAGCTCTCTAGGTGAGGATTAAGTGTGGCATTTTTTTATGGTTACCAAGCGTTTGTATTACCTTGTTTCTGTCAATGAAAGATGCTAAGTGAAATTTGAAATGCAGGAGGAGATTGCAAAACCTTAATGTTTGTTCAAATAAGTCCGAGCTCTGCTGACGTTGGAGAAACCCTTTGTTCACTAAATTTTGCAAGTCGAGTGCGGGGAATTGAAAGTGGTCCTGCTCGCAAACAGGCTGATCTCTCTGAACTTTTCAAATACAAGCAAATGGTATGTATTCTTCTTGTACTTACGCGAAATTTCTTTTATCTCAGTTTCTTTTGTCTCGATTCAGATATTTCCTTTCGTGTTTTTTCAACCACAAATAATCAGGTAGAAAAATTGAAGCATGATGAGAAGGAAACGAAGAAGTTACAGGATAGCTTGCAATCATTGCAGTTGAGGCTTGCTGCCAGAGAACATATCTGCAGAACTCTCCAAGAAAAGGTATCAAAGCTTTTTCATTTATTATTGTTATGGAACAAGTGGTAATTTTTTATTTATTTATTTCTTCTTTTGCTTTTATTGTTCTCTAAATGGCTTTTGTATAATTTTTTAGACTAACAAGGTAACTCTTTTCTTGCAACAGGTTCGGGACCTGGAAAATCAATTGGGAGAGGAAAGAAAAATCAGAATAAAACAAGAAACACGAGTTTATGCAGCTGCTTCTCAGTCTACAAAACAAGTAGTAGAGAAGAGCAAAACAGAGAAGAAGCCGCCTCTGGGTCCTTCAAAACCGAGGATGCCATTGCGAAGAATCACCAATTTCATACCTCCACCATCTCCTCTACAAAAACAGAAAACCACCATTACTGGTTCTGCTGTATCTTCAATGCGTAACAAAGAAAACAATCCAAGAAACACAACGGGAGGGACAAACACAAAAGGCCTTATGAAACCCAGGCGTATGTCCGTCGCAGTCAGACCTCCTCCTCCAATGTCAACGCAGGTTTTTGAGCCCAAGAGACGTGTATCCATTGCCACCTTCCGTCCAGAGCTAACATCAAACATGAGTACACCGCTTCAAACCTCCTCTCCATATAGAAATGGCAATGTAGTTGGCAGGCAGTCATTTGTCAGGGACCCAAAAAAGCCAAGGTATTCAAAGTTGTTCTCTCCAATGCCAGAGTTCAGGACTGCATCAGAGACAACAACACCTACTGCTATGAGAAACAGTAGTAAATTCATGGGGAGTCCTCCAACACAAGCAGGTTCATGGAAGCCAAAGCACCCAATAGTGGTTGCACTGCAACGAAAATCTTTGGTGTGGAGTCCGCTCAAGGTGAGGAGCACGCAAAATTTCCGGAGGCCATCCTTGATACCTTCAAGACCATCCAATGAGGGGCAATGAACAGTCATCATTGTCATGATAAATAGTAGGAGTAAACTTTTTTTTTTTTTTTTTACCTTAATCCCCATCTTCTCTCTTTTCTTATATAGATTTTATCTTTTCTCCTCCGGATATTAATCACAATTGTATGCTTCTTGCTTACTAAACTTCATGACATTGTTCTCCATCTTTCCTACATCCAAACTTCTCATTTTTTATCTTCTATCCTCAATTTGATGTAAAACATGCAACCTCATTTTCATGTCTTGCATTTCTTAGTAGAGTAAGAAAGAAGCGTTAAGGAGCAAGCAATCCATCTTCTATCTGTATCCTTATGATTAGATAAATGGTTCGCAGAGGCTCATTTAGAATCATTTGTAGTTATATGTTTTTTGTCATACTTTTAAATCGCATGCGCAGTTCAAAAAAACGATCACGACTTATTGCCATAATAAAATAACGATTGCGACCGTTATATAACGTCGAGTAACAATAACAGATTATCCAAAAATTATTATACCACAGCTTGTTATGTAAAATTGCCGTTGTTTAAATCTTTGTTTCTTATTTTACAACACAAGGCCATTATGGGTGACTCGGGATGAGCTTGAATTGCATGACTAGTTTAAGTGAAGCAACAAAAACTCTTCTTGCACATCATATCATAGGCATGAGTGAGTGCACAAATACATGATATTTTGATTGTCACTCATAAAAATAAATTTAGACAAGACATATATAAGTGCACATAGACACCGCTAAAAAACTAGCTAGGAATAAAAAAAGATGGCAAATCCGAATCACCAACCTAACTCGATCGAGAATTATCCAAAGGATGGTGAATGGCACCATTTGTTTAGGAAAAAATTAACTCGTTCGATCTCTCGGTTAGGGTTAATTTGTGTGGGAGAAAAATCAAAACACCACCTACAAGAGCTTAAAGATACACCTGCTTCAACTAATGTTGTGAGTTTTCAATCTCATTTTTCTCGCAAATGCGCAATTAAGTAAGGTTGGTTGGATAGATTTTGTGAACCTTAATGGTTTGTTGTTGAAGATGAAATTGATTGTTGGTGTGTTTATCATGTTGAAGATGGAAAAAGAAAAACAAGTTTAATCATTCAAAAGGTATAAATTAGTACATTACAAGGGAATCTCATAATCTATGTCAACATTGATCTTAAATCTTGTCTAATTCTTAAAAATAATTTTATCTTTTTATGTGTTGGTATGCACCCTTTATTTCCCTTAATTGATGTGTGTTATTTTTATTTATTTTATCAGGCTCAAAAATTAAAGGAAAAAAAAGGGGATTGTAGGCTCTGATGAATAAAGAAAGGTTGTTGATGGTTAAGGAATAGAAAAGCCATAAGAGACTAAATAATTCATTATTACTGTATTGAGAGATAGCGAATGACCTTGATGTTGTTATTACAAGCTGTTTAATAAATAATATGACAGTAATAATTAATAGATAGTATGTCTTTATATTTATTTATTTATTTATTATTATTTATTATTTTTTTTTGGGAGGTGGTTGGTGGTATGACTGTGTTCATTTCAAAAACAAAGAACTCTTTTTTGAGGTAAGCCAGGCTTGATATGTGGCTCTCTGGGCCTGGAAATTTGTCCTCGCTCTTGGGCTTTTTAGCAGTTATAAATATGGGCCTAGTAATATTAGCCTAGTCCAGCTTTAAAATGAATTAAATCTTTTTCTTTCCACAAAACATGAGTAACTTATAAATTAGTCCTTCTTTAGAGAAAAAAATTAATTAGTAACTTTATTTTAAAAAATAATTATTTATTCTTTATATTTTAAATTTTTCTATAATTTATTCTCTCTCTCTCTCTCTTTTTTCATTTTCAATTTATTTTAATTTTTTATTTTAAAAAATAAAATAAAAAGTATAGAATGATTAACGCGAAAATATGAATTTTTTTATCATATACAAACCTCAGTTTGTTTCCTGCATTTGGAACAAAGTGCCCACTACCATAAACAAAAAATCAACTATTCCTTTGTTCATAAAAAGAGAACCCATGAACTCATCTCATTCTCTTCCTGTATCGTAGCAAGAATATATACATGAGAATATAATAATCGAAAAAAAGAAGATAATAATTAACTGATGTTAAAACTTCAAACAAAAATAAATTACTTTGTCTGTAAATGACTGTCATTTTTGGTGGAGAGTGGTTGCTGTGGCAGATGTGTTGGTAGTGGAAGATTTGTCCTTGTTATTCTTATCGAATTTCTCTATCTTCTTCTTCTTCTCAGATAAAATTCTCCACTATCGACACATCTGCCACAACAACCACTCTTAACTGAATGTGGAATCGAGTCATTTACGGACAGAATCAATTCTTTTAAGTTTGAAAAAATAAGTGATCGTCATTGGAGTGGAGTAGCTTTTGGAGTGCTGGGTGAACCATGTGTGTTTGTTTGATTTTGATTATCAATTGCAGAGTTAGGTAAACACAACAATGTTTGTGCTGCATGCTTTTTTTCCTTCAATCTTTTTGACAACGTTAGTTAGATGCCAACATTTTCTATGGTCTATAATTGACTCATGCTTAGCTTTTGCCTCTAATCCAGTCATGCTAAATAAATCCTTCGTTAAATCATCTCTAAAACTTTTGAAAAGATTTTATCGTGAAATTTAACGATAGATTAGTGTTTTTTGCTAATAAACTATCACTAATCCATCATTATTCTATCGTTGTTCGTTTTATATTGAAAGATGAATAACCTTCCTTTGTTAATTTTTATCGCTAATTGATTGTTTTTTTTTATAGTGTTCGTTGAAGGAAAAAAGAAACATTTTCCTGGCTAGACGTTGCATGGTGTTCTGGCATTCTAGGAACTCTGGCACCAAATTATGGGCCAAGATCTGAGATACTGTAATTTATTTATTTTTATTTTTTTTAATCTTATAGTAAATGGTCGTGATCATGTTATTAAGAAATTCAACAAGAAACCAAATCAGTAAAGCTTCAAAGTTTCTTAACCTGAATTGGAGAAAGAATTAACAATTTGAAATCTGTATCGATCCCTGATGGTTATCAGATTTTATTGAATAGCTTCTGTGATCTATTTATATGTGATAGGATGATAGGATATTCTTGTGAATCGAGTAGGTTTTTGTTATGTTTACCTCTATGCGTATCCCTGCAGTCGTCAAGCTGTATTGAATATTTTCTATAACCTATTTATACGTTAATATAGAAAGCATCAAAGCGTGGCATTCACCGAACTTAACACTTTTTACATCGCATCAGAGTTAGCAGTCATTTTTTTTTTTTGTAATTATGTCTCACCGCAATGTCAAGAACTGAAAGAACTATTGTTCTATACTCATCAAATTCAGCTCCACAGATACAAATTATTGTCTCTTTACTCATCAAACTTAGCTCTACAAATACAATTTTTCTTCTCGGACAGAAGCAAATCCTGGTGAAAGTGGAGGTGAAAGTAGTGATGATGGTGGCAATAGCATCATAATAATAATAACAATAATATATTTTTTAAAAATTAATACCATCACTAAAAGAAGTGACAGCTAAAAAAGTAATAATAATGGTTGTAGTATAAAAAAAGTAATGATAGTGGTGATTAAGAAAAGAAATCGTAGAAATAATAATAATAATAATTTATTATTATTTTTTCATCACAATATCATGTGATAGGTGGCGGTGATAGGTGGTGTCAATGGTGAAAATGGCAATTATGGTAAAATTAGTTGATACTCCACCTTCTTTAATAAAAATGAAAAAAATATATAATTTTTATTCTCACTCTCACTTTTATTTTATTTTCATTTTCATTATTTTATTTTTTATTATCAAATAGCACTTAAATATTTTGCTATATGCCCATATCACTCATGACCTTGATTACTATAAGAGAAATTTTATAATACTTAAGAAATTTTATTCTTAAGTATTTTGTTATATATAATTTTTATTCTCATTCTCACTCTTTATTTTATTTTCATCTTCATTATTTTATTTTTCATTATCAAATAGCACTTAAGTATTTTGCTATATGCCCGTATCACTCGGGACAATGATTACTCGTAGGAGAAATTTTATAATACTTAAGAAGTAATTATTGTAAGTTACTCCATAAGAAGAGATAAATATAAAAAGGAGATAGAAGTATGAAGGAGAAAATAAAAATAAAAAATAAAAATTGCATCAAGGTGAAGATCTTTTTATCATTTTTTATGAGTCCGAATGTCACTCTTTCTTTATATATATGTCTATGTCTCTCTTCTCAAAAGTGAACTAATTGAATAACTATTGTACATGTATATTAATTACTACTTAAGTATTAATGCACGACTACATGCAATAAATGTGAATGTGTAATTAGCTTTTAACAAACAAGCTTAAATTAAGATGGTAACTTTTATTTTTCTCAAACAGAACTTTGCAATCCTCCTTTTATTTCAAAAATGTATTAAAGTTATCAATTACTTTTTAAAAAAACAATTATGGTGGAACATGCACGAATTAAAGATCAAAGAAAGCCTTTTAATTGGAAAAAAAAAAAGAAGCTTTAATCAATTTCATAAGATTGTATGAGAAAAATAAAATGATAAGTCATGTTAAAAAACCTATAAAATATAATAAATAAAAAATTAATCATTTTATTCTTATAAAATATTAATGAGATAAACTGATTCCAATATCATTTTTTTTTAAATTACGCATATTAGATTCAGATATTATCATTCTAATATCAGTATTAAAAATCTTTAATCTTATTTGAAAATTATGGTATATATCATTGGGTATTTTTAGAATATTATTTTAATCATTCTATTTGAAGAGAAATTAATTTCATGATATCTAAAAATAAAATAAATAAAGAAAAAAAAAACCGAGAGCCAATAAATCATATATTATAAAATTTATAGCCATCTTCTTTTTTTCACATGGATTGTAGGAGTGGTTAAAAAACGACAATTTTTTTCTTAAGTTGTAATATATTTTTTAAAAAATTATTTACTCGATATAATTTTATTAGAAAAACAATAATTGCTGGAATGAATCAGTTTTGTTTCACTTGTAATTAATAAAATATTTATCCATGTTTCTAACATTTAAGTTTATTAAATTCAAAAATAAAAAGAGAATAATAAGCTCAATATATTAAAATAAAAAATTTATGCAAAGTAAATTAATTAAATTGTTGCGCAATAAGTTGACCATCATTTAGAAATTTGAAAATATGATGATATACTCAGAAAAGCGACCTCAATATATATATACGTATATGTTGCGCGTATAAATTTTCTCAAAATACGGTATCTCGACCTTTTAGTGCCTTAATTTAGTATTTCATCAAATTGAAAGAAAAAATTTTCTCTTCATAAAATAATACAGATATATTAGTATCAAAATACTGAATTTTATTTGAAAATTATGGTGGTAGTTTTTTAAAAAATATATTATTTTAATCATTTGATTTGGAGAGAAGTCAAATTTTAGAATTTAAAAAAAAAAATGGTCAAAGGCCAGGAAACCAAGCCCATGCACATTTGGGCTTGGTATGAGAGGCCCCCATGCGCGGCCTTCCAATAATTAGATAAAACTACGCAGACGACCCCATGGGGTCAAAGGCCCCCATGTCTGAATTTCATTTTTTTATTTAATTTTTTTCAGATAATGACAGATAATTTTTTACTTAAAACTGATAAGATGTTAACATGTGACATTAAATTTTAAAAATAAAAATAAAAACAATTCTAAAAAAAATCTCAAAAAATCTGAAAATTAAAAAAATTCTCAAAATTCTATTCTTTTTCTCTACCTTTATGTATAGAAATAAATAATTAATTTCACTCCCAAAAAATATATTTTTTTGGCTTTCTCTCAAATTCAAACCAAGAAAGGAAATTTTTTAAGAATAGGAAGAAATAGAAGAATTTTTTTTATTTCAAAAATTTATTATGAAATTTTTTTTTGGGTTTGAATTTGAAAGAAATTTTCATAATAAATTTTTGAAATCAATAAAAAAATTTTGCTTCAATTCCTTCCTATTCATTAAAAAAAAAAAAATCTTTTTTGATTTAAATTTAAGAGAAAGCAAAAAAAAAAAAAACTTTTTTTGAGGGGTGAAATTAATAACTTGTTTCTATACATAAAGGTAGAGAAAATGAGGAGAATTTTTGAGATTTTTTTATGTTTTTATGTTTTATATTTTTTTGAAAAATTTAATGACATGTGTCAACATCCTATTAGTTTTAAGCCGAAAATTATCATCATTACTTGAAAAATTGAATGGAGGGATGAAATCCAAAAACGAATTAAGAATAAAGGGACGTAATTATTAAAAAATTTAGTAAAATGACACGATTAAGATAAAACGTAAAGGATATCTTATAAATAAAACATAAAGGAATATCTTGAGTCTTTAACCCTTTTTATAATCGAAAGAGGTATTGATTGTTTCTCTTTAGTTCTCTCCTCTCTCGATGTAAAGGACCAAACACTACTCAAATAAAATATCATAATTTAAACTTAAATGATACCAAAAATAGAAATCGAAATGTTACACAAATTATGACAATAAATAAAAACCCTCAAGACCAATAATTTTTTTTTTAAAAATGCCATCACAAAAACCTCAAAAACCAATAAAAGAATTCCAAAATACCATAGTGAAAGAATTGTAATTTGTATCTAAGTGAATAATATTGTAATAGTAAACCATCGTCCTTTCTTGATTTTTTTGGTTTTTTTTTGGTCAATGACAATGATTAGGCTATAAGTAGTGACGAAAATAGACGAATACTCGACTCATTAATTCAATTTTGTACCTTACACATTAGTCATTAAGAAATTACCATATGAATTTTTACTCAACTCATATCCGACCCATACTAGTTCACCCATACATTTAATATTTATTAAGTACTCGCTAAATTTAATTTGTCAAAAATATTCTTTTTAGTCCATGCAATTTTTAAGAAAAGTTTTATTTTTATCTTTATAATTTTATTATTTATTATTATTATTGCATTTTAGACGTTTATCTATAAGTTTTTTAGTCCTCAAAGTTTTTGAAAAAAAATATTTTGATCATTAATTTTAAAATTTTATGCAATTATATCCTTGCATGTTAATAAAAAAAATCTAAATAAATCAGTAGATATTAGTAGAGTAAATAGCGAATATTCATAACCCGAAACTATATCAACGGGTATGTATTTTTGTACCCTTGTCCACTTTAATAACCATTAGATATTTTTATTGAGTATTTATTGGATCTAATAAAGAGGATATCTATTTTGTATATGCCTCATTGTCATTCCTAGTTGTTAGAAAGCAACTATATTGTTTTTCACATTTCATGCATGCATGCATCATGCATTGTGTTCGGCAAATTCATTTCATTCATGCATAATTTTTCTTAAACTTCATTAATTACTCATAGCCTTGAAATTACATTTATCAAAGTGATTCCTGGAAGATTAAGAAATAGAAATAAATAAAAAACATGGAAATACAATCACTTTCAACTGATGAAGAACTAAAACATCTATTCACAAAAACCCTAATTCAAGATGATATGCTGGACTTAACTTTTGTTGGAGATTCAATTGACTACTTAGCTAATCTACCAACACCAATCTACAACGAAATTATTACAAAAGGATTGCAAATCAGAATGCATCCACCAAATCAAAGATTGGTGACAATTTACTATGACAATAAAAGTAAGAGTTTCAAATTGCAGAAAAATGATTGGCTTGCCATTGTTAAAGAGAGTGGTCTTGAAGTTGGTGACAGAATTGCTTGCTGGGCATGTTGCCATGACCTAGGTGGTAACTTCAGTTTGCTCATAGAAAAGGTAACAACATATATTCTTCTAATCTAGTTGGTTTTATGGTTCCATTCACAATTCATTACACACTAACTTCGTTGCAATCAAATGTTTTTTTTTAACGATGTGTATGGCTTTTGTCTTAAAACAGGTTCCCACTGACATTGAATGTGGGTGCTGATCATGTCTGAAAATGTTTTGAGTCACGAGTTGTTAATGATACTCCCGATAAAAATAAATGTTAGGAGTTCAATAATAATTGATGAGAAGGTTATGGGTTATTACATGTTGTAATTTTCTCTGTTTGTTTGAGAAATAAAATTACTTTTGTTCTATTTCTTTTCTTTGTTCACTTTATTTCATTTTCTTACTGCTTTAGTATCAGAGGACTTTCATTAGCATGTAATAACTCAATTTTCAATTGGTCATCAATGATCAAACCGAAGATAGTCATAGGATTTGACATGTCGGCCAAGTTTTGGTACTAGAAGATGACATGTTGTCAAAGAAAATCAATTGAAATCGAGTAAATTATAAAATTATTCTCTAGTTTTAAAATACAAATTAACTAGTCTCTCTTCTTTTAAAAATTAATTATTTAATCTCTATATTTTGTATTTTAAAAAAATAAATAAAAAATATTAAAGGATTAACCAGAAAATATGATTTTTTATACAATAAAGTAATAGTAAATTAAATATGATCAAAATTGATTAAAAACTAAATAATTAGTTTTTGAAACAAGGATGAGTAATTAATTTATTTTTTCAAAAATAATTATCTTGAATTTTTCCTTTAACTAACTCATATACAGTGCTGTTTTTTTTTATATTTTTATCCAATGAAGCAATTTTGGATTTTTAACCATTTATTTATTTCCTTAATAACAATCTCATGTTGTTTGATTTTCTTTTGTATCAAAAAGATAACAAGCAGTTATTATTGAAAAAATATGTTCGTATAGAATTGGATAACAGGAACCCGGTTGTATTCTTCAAGCTATCTTACCTTTTTCTTTCTTTCTTTCGTTCTTTCTTTTTTTTTTCCTGTAAAAGTGGGGATTAATTATCCGATCTAAAAATGATAAAGAAATTAAATATGGGTAATAATTCTACTGGCAAACGGTTAAGGTCCTGGATTACAGCAACGTTCTCTGTATGGAGAAGATATTTAGGCTCAAAAAAATGTATATAAGAGTATAATTTCAGCCGAGATTAAAAAAAAAATCACTTTCTCATTTTATAATTTTTTTTTAAAAAAAGGAATCGTATTATTAGACACAAAAAATGGATTTGTTATGAAGGCCCAAAATTACTTAAATTTTTTAATTCTTTCTCCCATTTCACGTATAAGATTTTACATTATTATTTTTAAAACAAAAATTTATTCAGATGATCTGGAATATTCATATATGCCTTTTCAATTTATATGATTAATTCTTCAAATCAGTTAATTTACCTTAGTTATTCCTTGAACATTATAAAATTTCTCAACTTTGACATATAGTTTTTTTTTTTATCAAACGATTTCTTCTTAAATTTGACATTCATCGTCTTTAATTGTTTTATTTATTTCTTTATATAAATAATGTAATATATAAATACATAATATTTCTCGTAATTTCTTTTAATCAAATTGTTTCTGGTACTCTATCCATCAGTTTTATTCTATAATAATTATATTGCAAGATTATTGAGTGTTTTTTTTTTTCTGAAGGAAAAGATTTAGCATCTATTTACTAATGATGTGTAGGTACTCAAGCTAGGGCTGAAAATGCTAAGAAGTCATGAGGTGATATTCCTACAGAAATAAATGTTAGGAGGAGTAGAATATTAGTTGATAATAAATTTTGTAATTTATTATATTGTAAGTTTTTTGTTTGAGAAATTAAAATGCTTTTATGATACCATTAATGTAATTTTCAAAATTAATGTGGCATTTATATATACCATTAAAGTAATCATGTTCAAAAAACCAAAGTGGTAATAGAAAACTCTAATTAACTAACGCAAATAAATAATACCGAAGCAAATATAATAAATAGAAAAATAAGAACTAGTTTCCAAGAATTTATGGACAAAAAAAAACTAGAGGTATCTATGGGAAAAAAAATATTTATCAATTTTCTTATTGGACTGTTCATATACATACTTTAATATAATTGTACATAACATTGATTTCCTTTGTAATTTTTTCTTGATCAGTACCATTAATATCATGAATAGATAAAAAAAAACTATCTTAAAAATTAGAAATTAATATCATATTCCCACTTGACAAAATCTTCATCCCTAAATTTCTTGACATTGATGCTGCAATCAATTAGAAATTAATGGTTTGTTTTCATTTTTATTTGAAGCTTTGTGGGAGTTTTATCGTGCGATATAAATGGTTTCTTTTCTTTTCGACTTTTTATGGTTTTCCCTCAATCTTTTTCCTTCTTTCTGTTTTTTTCAAGAAACTTGACGCTAGGCCAGGTGGGTTTTGATCAGCTAGTTCGAGGCACTCACCCACCTTTAATTGTGCTCGTAACATCTCATCAAGTTCATGGAATATGTGAGAAAGCATTAGCAATTTGGCATCCACTTCATTTGGAATCTTCACAAACAGAGGGACCATTTGTCTATTAGCTTTAACTTCAAAGTTCATTTATTATCAAAACCCTAGGCAGCTAAATGCAATCTCATAAAAATTCAGGGACCACTTTCTAGCAATAATTTTTCAAATTCAATTTAGTATAATTATCAACCGATCATGTCATTCGTAAGCTCCACTGACTCCGATAAGGCACTTGATCTCAATGAACTTGTAAATTGATATGAAAATATCTTTTCTATTGAAAAGAAAAGAAAAAAAATCAATGACTAATGTCATGACTCATGAGTGAGGCAATGCAATTTAAAACTTCACAATTTATGTATTAATCATGCATTCTATTGACAGATGGCACAAACACAGCTTTTTTAACATTCATTTACCCTTTATTTAGTTTCAAATCCTAAAAGTGATTCTCAAAAGGTCTAAGATACAAAAAACATTAACTCAAGAACATGACTAATCCACAACCTTGCCAAATTCAACACTACCCACTTGGTGGGCAGGTAAAGCATTTATTCACAAAAACCATAATTCAAGATGATATGTTAGGGTTAGCTCTTGTTGGAGATTCAAACAACTACTTTAGAGGTCTACCAAAACCCATGCTTGATGAAATTGGCATCAAAGGACTAGAAATTGAGATTTATACACCAAACAATAAGAGTTGGGTGGCAATTTACTACGATAGGGAAAATAAGAACTTCAAATTGGAAAAGATTGCTTGGTTCGAAGTTGCTTTGAAGAGTGGATTCAAAATTGGTGACACTATTGGTTGCTGGTCATTGTACCATGGTGATCTTGGCCCATATGGAATCTTAGCTTTACTAATTGAAAAGGTAACAAATTATTATTATTATTTTTTATCACATTGGCTTTGCATGGATTTAATAGCATTTTTAGATCTCACGGTAAAAAAAGGAAAAAGAATTAGCTTGCAATTATGAACAATATGTGTTGCTTTCGTCCTAAAAGCAGGTTCCCATTGACATTGACAATGAAGGTGGTGGGCAACAAGCTAGGGTTGAAAATGCTGGGGATAGCAAGCAGTGAAGGGTCCTATATAGTGGTGTCCTTTCATTTGTTTTTAAATGCGAATAAGTTGATATTGTAGGCTATTGTATTGGAAGTTGAGAAATTACATGGTTTTAAGGCTCCTAATAAATAAATAAATTAGAAGGTTTTCAAGATTCTAGTAGCATTTATGAACTTTGTCGATAACTGGTTTTTTAAATACAATTTCCTTTTCTTTTTTTTTTGTGCAAATGCTTGAATTTTTTAATCTTGATAACCCAAGATTTTAAATTGTGGACTTGACTTACTAATTAGTTGTTGAAAAAAAAAAGCTCTTAAAAGGGAGATTATTCATAAATTTTTCCTATGTTTTCCATAAAAAATGATTCACGGAATCGTTTTTTAAAAAGAAAATTAACTCTTTTTTTTTTCATTTTATAGAAGGCTTAACATATTTGGATTACACAATAAGGATATTTTTTCTTATTGATCTTTCCTATTTAATTTGACCTAAATTTGTTCATAGATAATTAGGTATTGGTTAAATAAGTTTACCAACTAACTTCACTACCATCCACATTTAATCACATTGATAACACTATAGAATTTAGGAGGAAGCTCTAGCCTTGTACAGATCGAGGGACCTCCCTTCCAAATAACAATAACTTTGAGGATTATTATTTATATAAAATTTAGGGAACAAAATACAATTACCTATAAATAGAAGGGTCATTAACAGAAAAATCCACAATAATTTTCAAATTCAATCTAGTATAATTATCCCTTCAAAACCAACCAATAACCACAAGATCATACCGTACAAAACCGCACTCACCAGGCGTCCGGTGATTAGCATAAAAGGACACACAATATAAAGCAAGAAAAATAAAATCAAAAATCAAAAAATTGTGGATAAAATATTCTGATTGGCCAGCCCACCTTTATATTCAAGTTTCGCGGCAACATCTCTCTTTCTCTCTCTAAAAGCGCCTCTCTTTCGTAACTTTAAAAAACTCTCTTTTATTTCTCTCTCTAAAAAACCCCTCCCTGCAACACGTAAAGTTTGTATCTTTCTCTCTCTACAACCCTTTCTTTCTCCATATGGTTTAGTTCCGGAGAGCAATTGCTCTAAATCTGTAAGTGTGTACTCTTGGATCTGTGAATTAGGGTTTATAAGGGAAGAATTTTGAGGGTTTTGTTTGGGGTTTTATAAGGAAAATTTTAAAAATTTCGGTTTCAAATTTTGGTTTTTTGTGATGTTTTCGTGTTTTTGTTGTTTTTCGGGGATTTTGGATATGGGTGTTGAATTTTAGTGAAATTTGAAAATTTAAGGGTTTTGTTAGTGTATTTCGCTTGGAATTTTATTTTCAATTTTGGTGGGTTTTGATTTTCTTTTTCCTTTTTTTTTTTTGAAAGCAGCTTTTTTTTTTAAAAAAAAAATCTGAAATCGGGGCATTTTGAATTTTCGATTCGATCGTGTTTTGAAGTTTACGATTTTTTTTTTTTTTTTTTCATATATGTAATCTGCTTCTTTTGATAGTTTAAAACTGATGTGATTTTGATAATGCTGTACTTTACTTAAAAGTTGAATTCTTGTGGTGGGTTTTTGGGCTTATTGGCAGACTGAGGTTTTAAATATAATCTGGGTGGGAAAATATTTTCTACAATTAGGACAGCTTAGTAAACTCCAACTTGAGTCTACGAATCCAAAAAATAGAAAAAAAAAGAAATAAATTTAATATTTGGATTGTGTTTTGTGTGCCAAGTTATGGGAGAAAAGATCTCCTTGATACGTTAAGGGTCTTATATTTTTATTATTAATGTATTGTATGTTTTGAATTTTGATGGTTATTGATGTCCATGTTAAAAATTTAAGCAAATTGGTGTTGCTAATTTGTTCATTTGATTTGTTTCAGATAGACACGTTCTCCATGGCCCCAACAAGGAAAAAAAGTGTGAATAAGCGATTTCTGAATGAGGTCTCGCCTGAAAAAGAAGCCAAGAGTTCAAGCAAAAATAAACAGCAGGCGAATGGGGTGAGAATCGGCTTTGTTTTTGGTGTACTTACCCCAGTTTGTTAATGGTTTGATTGATCCTTTATGCTCCAGTTGTTGGCTGAGTTAAATTGTTTGTGGATTTATGTCAAGACTTGATTTCCATGTTGTCATTGCTTTGTGGTACATCAATTTTGATTTAACTATAATAGTGAAATTGAGACTCAGTTCTTTATATTTCTCTTAAACACAAGGCTAAAAATTTCCTCTCTTTGCTCAGCAAATGTGCTATGTATCTTTTGTTTTTGGGTTTTTGCTCTTTACTTCTCAAGAAATAATATCATGATGTACTAATGCATTGACTATTGTGCTTTGATTCAGAAGAAGAAATTGTCTGATAAATTAGGACCTCAATGGAGCAAGGCAGAACTTCAAAGATTTTATAAAGCATATCGGGACAATGGAAAGAACTGGAAGAAAGTATGTGTTATGTGTTATTGTGATTTCTTTTCATCAATCCACATTTTTGGGATCTATTCAGCATGACAATGCTCCTGGAATGTAATTTGTGCATATTAAGCTCATCATACACTGTAATCATAATCTGAATTTTTGTTGTTGTTGATGATTTAGGTTGCTGCTGAAGTGCGCAACAGATCTGTAGAAATGGTGGATGCCCTTTACAATATGAATCGGGTACTTGTGTTCAGCTAGCTTAATCAGTTACCAGGCTCATTGCTTACACATCCTCCTTGTTTTTGCTATCTTTTCAGTATTGTCACAGTGAGAATGTTTGATATGGTTTTATTATTGGAATCTGGATATCTGGATATCTGGATCTGCTTAACCTTTGGTGTCCTGTGGCCTTAATTGAACACAATTTATATCTAGTTGGTTTACAGTATCGAACATTTTTACTGGATTGAAGAATTGAAATTGGTTGGGCTTCCTTAGAATATGGTTAAGAACCTTGAAATTTTATGTGTCCAAAGTAGGACACAAAGTCAGCTGATTCTGTACTTTGGATTTGTAATCTAAAGCTGTCTATCGGTTTGTGAACTCTTGGAACTTATTTAGGGCAGTTTTTATATGCATATCATTCAATGAGGTAATGAAACACAACATTTCAAGAAAAAAATGTGGTTCTCATTCTAAATTTTTTGGCATTGCCTTAGCAGCGTTTAGTGTGATTTGAAACAACTTGATATTATGTTTTGGCTCCTGTTTGGGTCTATGTTATGGGATGCAGAGGTATATAAAACATTTTTGCTTCTAAAATATGATGATGCATTTATTTTAAAGTTCTTCTACCTGCAAAAGGAAAATCTCCCCTGAATGGTGATGCAGGAGCTAGAACTGCAGTAGCTTTCATATAATTAGGGTTTTTCTTTTAATAGTTTATTTACGTATTATGTATTGTGGTAGTTTGGATGGCTAAGATTTAGTTATTTTTAAGGGCTAGGATTTCTTTTATTTAGTGTTTTGCCAGTGTTTAAGGCTGCTGCTACTGTAATAAGAAACAAATTTGATATTTTGATAACTTTATGAAGAGTTTGTTCTCTTTTGTGGCTGTTCAGCCCTGACAACCAGCCTTTAGCTGTGTTAGCTATCTTTGCCTTTTCTTCCTAAGTCAAATGGGTAACTTGTATCCTGTGTTAAAATTCAGTTATTATATTGTAGATGAAGCCTGTATTCTTTGTCAGTTTTAGTGTCCTTGGTTAACATTGTCACTCTTCCATGTTCTATATATTTTCAGGCATACTTGTCACTTCCAGAGGGAACGGCTTCTGTTATTGGGCTTATAGCTATGATGACTGATCACTACAGTGTCCTGGTATGACTGCATTTAACATCTGGAAGTTCAACTGAATTTCTGTTTTTCTTATTCTTCCTTTTTTTTTTTTTTTTGCGCCTGGAGATGGGGATCAGTGAAGTGCAAAACGACAATTTAATCAGCTGCATTTAACATCTGGAAGTTCAATTGAATTTCTGATTTTCTTGTTTTTTTTTTTCCTGGGGATGAGGGGGATCAGGGAAGTGCAAAACGACAATTTAATCACCCAGATATATATTTTTTTTATGGTAGCCATGATGTTTACAGCAGACATGGTGAAGAATACTTTTAGAGTTACAGCATTTGGCTGAAAATGAGACGGATAATTTATGCATTATGGTTGTTCACAGTAAGAATTGACCATAAATTTGGTTAATATCATTATTAAGTAGGATTCTGATAAATAGTTAGCTGTTTGACAAACTATACGGCGCATCTTGATTTACCTAATAAATTGGTGTAAATCCTGATTTTGTTGTCTGCTGACAAAGCAAAAGCTAATTGCATGGGTCCGGAATGTGAACTTGCAGGAAGCAAGTGAGAGTGACCAAGAAAGCGATGAGGTACCTGGAGTGCTCAGGAAACTTCAGAAACGTAAGCGGCCAAGAGCACAGCTTAGTGCATCAAAAGAAGATATCCAGCAGTCTGAAATGGTTGCATCAAATGACGGATGCTTATCATTATTGAAAAGAGGATATGGTAAAATACGTTGCTTTTGAAAAACATTATTCTGGTTTGTTTCCTTTTTTTCCTTTCTCCCCCTTTGTGATGATCTGAGGAGTGCTCTTACATTTTTCCCTTTATTATGACTCCAACCTGCATGCATTAGATGGCTCATGCATTCCATCTGTCTCTTTCCATCTCCATATTTTTTGTTGTGCAAACATTCTGTTGTTTTCAACTTTTTTTTTCCCCTAAAAGAAACTTTCAATGAAATTCAATCCATCCACCGTTTTACCCTTATTCTTTCAAGCTTTTTACTGCATAATCTGTAACCTTTTATGGGGTTATGTTAGTGACATCTAAATGGTTTAATAAGATGCTATGGTGGGGAGACAATTTCCAGCTCGTTTCTTTATTTATTTATATAAATGGATAGAAAGCGACAATTATGAAATATCAGTATGGTCCAAACTTTGTCGCAATGCAAAGAGAATAGTTTTTTTACTGCATAATCTGTAGCAATTCAAACTTTTTACTGCATAATCTGTAACCTTTTATGTGGTTATGTTAGTGACATCTAAATGGTTTAATAAGATGCTATGGTGGGGAGACAATTTCCAGCTCATCTCTTTATTTATTTATATAAATGGATAGAAAGCGACAATTATGATGAATATGGTCCAAACTTTGTAGCAATGCAAAGAGAATAGTTTTTATTTTTATTTTTTATTTTTTATTTTTATTTTTTTAGTGGCAGAATGAAATTTCACGTATTGGAGACAATGTTATCTAAGACGGTGAAAGAAAAGCACTGAGAATGAATCATGATTTGATCCAATTGAGTCAAAGAGATGAAAGTGAAATCTATTTCCTCTGTAATAGGGCTGAACAGAAAACTGTATTAATCAGAAGCTGTTGTGGATATAGAATTCCCTCCAGTTGTCATCTACATGGAGCAAGTTTTGATGTCCTATTATTGAAATTGACCCTATGGGTTTGATGTCTAAAACTCCAAGTAGAACTGTATAGGGATTGGATAGAATAGGCAACTAATCTGACTCTTACTATCATCTTGGAACTGGAATTACAACAGCAAAAGGTTTAATTTTTCTATAACATGGAAGTTTTTTTCATTAAATTTTCTCTAATTAAGGTTAAGAATTTGATTTGATAGTGATCATGCAACTCTTTTTTTTCTTGCAGCAGTGTTCCTTTCTTTATCCTTCTAAATTTTCTCATAAATATTTGAACTTTACAGAATAGCAAACGAGTGATATAACTCTTTCTAACAACATTTATGATCATTTGAAGTGTGGGTTTCCTTTCTGATGGATTCAAAATTCATATTTAGGCCGTCCACTTCATGCAGTTGGGAAAAGGACACCTCGCTTTCCTGTTTCACATCTGCACAAGAAAGATGGGGAAAATTATGTTTCACCGAAGAAGAAGCGCAGAAAGTCAGAGATCAATGCTGATGATAATGATGATGAACATGTTGCTGCACTGGCATTAACTGAGGCATTGCAGAGAGGAGACTCTCCCCAAGCATCTCAAACACCCCGTAGAAGAACAGAACATATGAAATCATCACCTGTTCAAAGCTGGGATAGGATGGTATTTTACTGTAGACCAGTTTTCCATTCTTACTGATACTTTATTTATGCCATATCATAATTTTCTGTCTACTTAATTGGTTTCTGCAGTCCGAATCATCACCGGCAAATCTTCGTGATGCTTCCTTATATGAAAACTGGTCTGAAAGTGGGATAGGACGTGGAGGGCCTGATCTTGCTTATGCAAGGGATGCAAGCTCCTTGGCAGAAATGGAAGGTATAGGTACTGTAGAAGTTCATCGAAAAGGCAAGAAGTTTTATGGAAAGAAAGTAAAAGTTGAGAAGGTTGGAAACAATCAGTCTGATGATGATGGAGAAGCATGTAGTGGCACTGAAGAAGAACAAAAGGTCAGTACTTGGAAGGGAAAAGTCGACATTGAGATGTCAAAGGCAAAAATTGATGAGACTTCTCATCGGGTCCAAAGGAAGAGAAGCAAGAAACTTTTCTCAGACGGTAATTTTGTTCTTTCGTACTTGGTCTTGAGTGTTATGCATAGACCATCAAATCATCTTTCCATTTCACGGGTGAGGAGAGTTGTATAGTCACTTGATTGCATGTTTTCATCTTAGATTATCATTTATTAACTGAAAAGACCTTTTAGGATTGCAGTTTCATTTTCTTCTGAAGTTGTGAAGTTGGAAATCCTTTGCCCTTATAGTGGAGCAAACTTTGTGCCATATCTCCTAAGAATTGTCAATCTTGTAATGGCTCGTTTATGTTTTTTTCTCTGATGACATTTGTTGATGTGAAGTTATCTAGTTAGGAGCTTTATTAGGAATTTAGGGTTCAATACGGGAAGTCTGTTCTATGATGGAAAGATATGGCTCTTGAATTCAGCTCTCAGATGACAAACTAATGTACAGAGAGGATGATGCTTATAGTGGAGACTATGGAGTTTCCTTCTAAATAAGAAACAATTGATAAAAACTGTCTTGTGGGAAATTCTGGAAAGTTGTTTCCTGTAATAGGCTCTATTTATAGTAAATGCTTGGGCCATGTCCCCAGTATTTGGACTCTATTGGAGGTTTATCATTTGGGGTTTCCCAGACAGATTTCTAATGGGTTTGGGCTTAGGTTTTTAATTTCTAATTATTTGGATTTCTTCTTTGAGAAACATCCTTTTGAATGGTGTGACCAGGCGTGATTGTAAACTCTTATTTTCTCAACAATGAGAACCTGGATAACCTTTTTCATTGTCAACCCAGAGTACTCATGACATAGGGGAGGGTTCCTTGGTATGTGAATTGATCTACTATCACTAGATTGGTGTGATTTAAACTGTTGTCCTAGGATGCACGTTTTTTCATCCCCTCCTTTTCACATCCTGCATTTGGTTTGGTTGAAAAATTAAGCCATTCAAGCAAATAATACCAACTAGCTTAGCTGGTAAATCTCTAGGAGTTCTACAGGAGACCTAGGATTGACATCAACTTTCACTGATGTATGGGGTTATGTAAGGGATGGTGGAACAGTGATAATCAGCGTACCCTGCTGTTGGAACAAAAAATAGGAGGAAATACATGTTACCACTTTTAACTTGTGAATTGACTTGCTTCTCCCATCTGTACTGTTTGGTTATTAGTATGTTTATGATGTGGCAATGCTGCGTAACTTATCCCATTGATGACTTTTTATAATACTTTCCCTTGTTTATTTGCAGATGAACATACTGACTTGATTGGTCTTCAAACATTGGCTCTTGTTTCTGCAATGGAATTTGGTAAATATTAAATAAACCTCTAGTTTTATACATGCATGTGTGAAATGATAGAAATATATTGAAGTGCAAGGAATAATTAATATATTAGCATTGCATGGCTTGTCAAACAATATCCCATTTGTGCGCTGAATTACAGTACAACATTGATTTGTTAGAGGTGATGATTTCAAGAAAACTTTAATGCTGAAATCCTAATGTTAAATATTCTTCAATTTCAGCTGAAACAATGCAGCACTACTTTTATTCCATCAGAATACCATTTTCCCTTTATGGCAAATGTGGTCAATAGCTTACTACCTTTTTTTTTCCTTTCTTATTTCACTTCCTATCTCACTTGTTTCTTTAACCTTCTGAAGAATCTTAGTACCTGTCTCTCTCTCTCTCTCTCTCACACACACACACACACACAGACACACACACACACACACACTTGCATGATGTTACGAGTAAACGGGATGAGTAGGATGAGTAAGAGAAGATAAAAAAAAGATTATGTTATCAAGTGAACTGTAATATCTATTTCATGTAGTTGGTATTTTGTCATTGCATATTTGGCAAATATTAATTGTTCTCTTGCATTTTCTTATGGTTCCATTTAGCATTTTGTTTTTTGGTTTTGCTTCTCTAAACGATGATAAGCAGATATGGGCAAACTGATTTATTTATCTTTGTAAAAGGAATACAATCTATATTGACATACGTTATGCTTTAGTCTACTTCTGCCCATTGGTCTTAGTTTGTTGGTCGCTGTGGTGCTATTCCTTCTCATGTGTGCTCAAAATATAAATCCTTTATCTTTTTTCTTTTAATGTTTGTTTTAGAATCATCTGCCCAGTTGGATGAAGAACGAACCATGCAAACTGGGGAAGACAAGTGTAGTGTGCCTGAATCTGCATCTACTAGCCATCATAGAGATAAAACTAAACCCTCAAGGAAGAAAGAAAAGGCAATAAGTGTAGTTGAGGGTACAACCTCAAGAAAATCTAAGCTTGGAAGGTACCAAATAATTTCTGCTAGACCTCTCTCTGAAGCAAATAAACGGCCTCAGTCCATCAGCAATGATATGCTGAAAAGAAAACGTGAGGCTGTGGTATCAAAGGTATGCACATTTGTTCATGTAACTCTTTCATTTATTCATTAATACCTTTTGGCATGCCAGATTTATTGGATGATTTTTCTTGCAACTTTGATACACAATTGTATTGATTGCTTCGGTTTAGGCATATTCATAATTAGGTCCCAGTTAAATATAGTTGTTTTTAGTTGTTTCTGTTACACAGCAGCTTGCCTGAGACAAGATGGACTGTACACTTTGAATAAGAAATTAAAGTTGTGCTTTTTCCCTCAATGTAAATGCTTATGCATGTGAACACTTGAAGGCATGAACATGTTTGGAATTTGTTAGGTACTAGTACCACATTTTATTCTTTGCTCTTTCTTTTACTCTTTGGTCATAATTGGAGTTTGTCCCCGTTCTATATGAAACTGGCACAGGTTTTGGATGAAGAGGAGAATACATCTGTGGTTAAAGGAAAACGTGGTGGTCAAAATTCTCCTCCTTCAAAACAATTAAAATCATTAGAATTGCCAGAGGGTTCTTCTTTCAGTGGTGATCATAAAACTGTAGCAAATGATATAGCAGTGTCAGCTGCACAAGTTCCGGTTGCAAGCCAAGTTCTCTTACCAACCAGAAAAAGAAGCAGACGCAAGATGGATCTAAAGAGAGCAATGATACCAAAAGAGGGGAGATCTTCTGTGAACATTCTGAAAAACCAAATTAGTACCCATCTAAAGGTGAATTTCTTTCGATCTTAGCTGACCAGTTCTTAGAGGCCCATTTACATGTGTTCTTGTTTTCTGGTCTTACAGGACAAGCTTTCTTGTAGTCTATCATCTCCTATGGCTCGTAGATGGTGTACATTTGAATGGTTTTATAGTGCAGTTGACTACCCTTGGTTTGCAAAAAGGGAGTTTGTGGAATATTTAAATCATGTTGGACTTGGGCACATTCCAAGACTGACTCGCGTGGAATGGGGAGTCATAAGAAGGTATGTTTTGTTTTTTAATCTCTGTTAGGTATATTATAGCCACATTCATGGAATGTAAAGAAACTTTCTTCTTTATGCAGTTCTCTTGGCAAACCTCGGAGGTTTTCTGAACGTTTTCTACATGAAGAACGAGAAAAACTCCACCAGTATAGAGAATCTGTGAGAAAACACTATATGGAGCTTCGTACAGGTTTAAGGGAAGGACTTCCTACAGATTTAGCAAGACCTTTATCAGTTGGCCAGCGAGTAATTGCTATTCATCCCAAAACAAGAGAACTTCATGATGGAAGTGTACTCACAGTGGATCATGACCGGTGCAGGGTTCAGTTTGACCGTGCTGAGTTAGGAGTTGAATTTGTTAAGGTAGTTGCATTTTCTAATTAAAAAATCTTCTTATTTTTCTTATTTTCATAGTGTTTACAGTATTTAGGCTTTTGTTGTTTGCACTTTGCTTTTTTTTTTCTGTGGTGTAAATAGTTTGCATTTTTGGAAGTTGGAATGCTGGGAAAGACTTAGATATCTATTAAGTTTTGTAGAATTTGCTTGTACTTGTGCTGATTCAGAAATTGGCTTCAAATTTTCTACTAATGGTTCATTGGTTTGTAAACTAACAAGTAGCCATCACTTTGGTTGCCCTCTATGAATTCTACAGAAACCTTAAGACATTCTAGTTTATCAAGTGAACAATGATTAATTTCCGTAGAAGTTTGTTGTGATGCCAATAGAAGTCTCGTGGACTGAAAAATCAGTGGTTGCAGCCCATAACATGGGTCGTAGTGGCTCTGCTGCAAGCCACTGGTTACCACAATTTCTTGTCAGTGCGTATTGGGTGGGATTAATAAAGCTTTTGTGGTCTTTAATCCTCCTGATATTTGAGCTGTGCTGCCTGTACAAGCTATTTGTAATTGTTAGGTAGTTAGACCTATTAAATTACTTTCTTTTATTTAACTGGAAATTTTAATTTAAGCAAATTTCATGTCCAAATTGTTAATGAAATGCCTTCAAACAGTCTTGTTTAGATGAGTAAACTGCTCCCTATGAATTTATTTTAAATTAGCACTGTTTTCTTTCCTTCTCCTGGAACAATGACAATAAATATTTCACTGTAGGATATAGATTGCATGCCTTTAAATCCGCTGGATAACATGCCAGAAGCTCTTAGGAGACAGAGAATCTCTGTTCTGCCCAAGGAACTGCTAGTGAATGGGGAGTCAAACATTGGAGAGTTCACTGCAAATGAACATCTAAGGAATGCACCGAGTCCCATGAATGCTTTGGTGAAGCAGGCACAGGCAAGAATAGCTATCCCTTAAACTTTAGAATAAGTGCATTACAATAACTTTTATTTTCAAGCAATATGATTACTTTTTATTCAGGTTGAGGCAAATTGTGCCATCCCTCTTGCCAAGGCAGCATCTACTGACATTGTTAATGCACAAGGAGCCTGTAGTCAACCTTCTTTGGTAGCGCAGATCCAACCGAAGGAATCCGATATACGAGCGCTATCTGAGCTGAATCGTGCTCTGGATAGAAAGGTAAAAGATGAAGTTATATACAACTTCGTATGCTCAGTTTAACAACCTGCAATACTTGTGATGCTCAATTGTGGCACAGACGTTTGGCACTATCTCCCCGTAGTATAGGGAGGATTTGCTTTTCTTTGGTATAGGTTTTATTCTACAACAGTTCCAGTTTTGGCTTAATGTTCCTTCCATTTTCAGAGTATTTTGATTATTTTCTTGTGGGATTTGTGTTGGAAATTACATGCCACCGATCAAACTGGTTAGGCATTTCCTTTAGAAGAGCACAACATAAAATCATAACGTTCACTCACCATCTTGGTCTCCTGGCTTTTGCTGTGCTAGCATTTTTATCCTTCTTGCCTTCAGTCATCATTGTACTTCATCATCTTGTATACAAATGGAGTTACTCTAGGATTTGCATTAAGTTCGTGACCATATTTTACCCTTTTTTTTTAATTATAGGAAGCATGGTTGATGGAGCTTAAGAACACAAATAATTACATAATGGAAAACCCAAAATTTGGAGATAACTCTCTAAAAGATTCTGAACCTTTGAAGAAGCACTTGGCCACAGTACTTGTAGAGCTAAAGGAAGCCAGTGGCCAGGCATGTGCCTTGCTTAAATTTGCACTTATGCTGTATATGATTTGCAAGTTTGCTTTCAGATTCATGTGTTTTAATCTTGCCTAACCTCTGATCACTTTGTATATCTGACAGGCTTCTTCTGCTTTACTCAATTTGAGGCAACATAATACTTATCCCGGAAACAACCTGCCTGCTTGGCTGAAACCCTCAGCCAATTCCTGTTTCTCTGGCATGCAAAGACCTCATGATAGTTCTATTGTTTCTCAAGAATCAGGATCTGCTGTACTTGAGATTGTCAGAGGCTCGAGATTAAAGGCACATACTATGGTAGATGCTGCTGTCCAGGTATTCATGGTCTTCTTGCTCTCCCTGCTCTTCTGTGCCTGCATACAGATTTTAAATGTGTTTGCAGCAATTCTGAATGTCAATCATTTTTTAATTCAGCCATTACTGATGAAAGTAACTCTAAAATCCCTTAACCATGACCATTCATTTAATCTTGAAAAATCTCTTTTGTGGTTCTCATACATAAAAATATGAACATATGAATGATGGCACTGCCATTTTTCTGGCTACACATAATGTACCACATTGATGATTGGTGCTGGAGAGTGAGCCCGTCTTTCCACCCATTAGATGGAATTCAGCAATTCCTAAGTCGGACTTGTGGATTTTTTTATTTTTTTATTTTCTTTTGAAGTATTCTGGACTCGCTCATGCTCAACTCCTCTCAGATACTTCTCTGGAGGTTCATTGTCTAATATAATGGTTTTTTATTAATATGTCTAGCTTAATGTTATCTTCATTATAGTATAACCAGAGGCATATATCAATTGTTCTAGTTATTACTAAGTGATAATATTTATTGCAGGCAATTTCATCCATTAAAGAAGGGGAGGATGCTTTTGGGAGAATTGGAGAGGCTTTAGATTCTATTGATAGAAGGCCTCTGGGGTCAGAATCTAGAGTACAAATGAACAGGTCCCCAGAGGAGGCCAATGGTGGTTTTCGTCTTCAAAATCAGTTGATTCCCAGCACGCCAGAGCCTCAGGTTAACAGTAACGCATCTGGGCCTCAATCAAATGATTCTGACAAAATTGAGACAGCAATTCCTTCGGAGCTCATATCATCATGTGTCGCTACTTTGCTCATGATACAGGTAACTTGGGCATTTTGTACTGCCGTGCTCTTTCTTGGATGGAAAATGTCTATTCACATTGATTTCCTCTACTACTATGCTTATTATTTTTTACTAATATGCAGACATGCACCGAACGACAGTATCCCCCATCTGATGTGGCTCAGATAATTGATTCTGCCGTTACTAGCTTGCATCCCTGCTGCCCGCAAAATCTGCCGATATATAGAGAGATACAAATGTGCATGGGAAGAATCAAGACTCAAATACTAGCTCTAATACCAACATGAACTTGCTGCCTTCTGTTGCAGCTGTATCCTACCATCAACCCCTGTATAGACGGAATCATGGTTCCCAGCATCCCCAAACCCCCCACCCCCTCCATCTTTAAATTTTTTTTTTTTTTTTAGGTTACTGCTAATGGGGATTATCAATCATAATAATATCCCTACAAGTTAGAGTATCTCCCTGCCCCTCTTATTTATCTAATTCTCCCTCCATTTAAAATGCTGTCATCTTCAATGAGAAAATTTTGCTTTTTTTTTTCTCCTTTTTTATTTGATAAAAGAGAATACAAATTGTTCCGAGATTTGCCTTTTAATGCAGTATTTTTGTTGAGAATGTGTCCCCCATTTTCTTTATTTACTTTTAGAACTCATCCTAGATGGTATTTTGAGCATGGATTGCCTGCCTATTAACGAGCTACACAGTATGGTAAGTATCATGAAGTCAAGTGATTGACTATGATCAAGGGCAAGCATCGGGAGCCAAAGTATTCTATGCGAAGCTAGCTTTAGAATTACGGCCAACGTTGTTTTTGTATAGATAAAGAGTTTTACAAGGTAGAAATTGCCAGACAAAGTTCAAAATATTTGCGGCCGTTTTAATGGGTATCGTTGGCTTAACAAATTTCCAATCATACATGCTTCTAATGATTCCACTCAATAAATATTTTATTGACTTTCTTATTAGTTAAATATTGGAGCATACAAATAAAGACATTAGAGGTTAATTTAACATGTCACATGTTAATCATCTCCAAACCGATTGTTATGGGAGGTTATAATTGAACAACCAGTTAATCCATGATTACTGCAAGCATTAGCAACAAGAATTAAAGCTTCCTTCAACTTGATTTTGATCATCATTTCCATAAAAATTATATAATTTAATTTAATTTAATTTAATTTGTACAATAAAAAAAAGTAATTAACTTGATTTTCCTTTTTACAAATACAAACCAAAGGAATCAGGACTCACTATCCTTGCGATGTCAACATTTTAACCTCAGTAAATCTGGAGAAGGAACTTTCAATTAAGTTCAGCAATTTCGGAAACAAAATACATAAGCTTAGCCATCTAACAAGAAAAGACAAATCAAGCACGAGAGCAAAACTATGCTAGAATTAATAAGCTGAGATCAGAAACTTAAAATCGAATCAACCACCCACATTTTTAAGTACATACTACCAACAGCATGGGTTGCCAACTTGCCATAGGCAGTTTAATGCACTTTGAACCTCATTTTCTGTTAGCACTAAACTTGGCAGTCTCTCCAGCAGCATGATTTGACTTTAGAACAATTAGGTTATATGGGGGAAAATTTGAAGACTCACAATTTACAAATTCTTGTTTGCTCTTTGAATTTTCTACCCTAAAAAAGAAAAAGGGTGGGGCTAAGAATCATGGGGCCCTTCCAACTTAAGAGAATAATGAGTAATGACTGTGGTCCTCTCCAATGTCACCACAGCCAACCCTTCATGCAAACCATGGCTTAACATCTAAGCTACCCCCAGCAGGAACTTGAAGACATCACTTATTGAGATAACCCCTTCCACACGCTTGCTACCGGCTTCCACAATTAAAAGTCTCCTAACCCCTGAAAAGATATCATGCAACGAGGCAATTAGTAAACTTATAACAAGTCCAAAAGCACGGTCTGAAGTGCCTATAGTGAAAAGTAGAGAAAAATAATAATAACAATAAATAAAATTGGTGTAAGTACCAGGATTTGCCAATCGTTCCATCACTTTGTGTAGGGAATCAGTCCGTAAACACATTTGACATCTCTGTCCGTTGTAGAATCCATATGATGAATTTGCATCCTGACCCAATAGCAGTGCCTACACAAACATAAAAAAGGAGGTCACCATGGTAGGTTCATGTTATGTGTGTTTTATCCAGAAAGGCAATTTAGTTAATCCCTTCCACAGTCATGCATCTTCTCCTGGTTTAACTAACTGCATGTCTTAATTGTTTAAAACGTGGAGATTTGTTTACTTGCTGCAGCAGTTGATTGGTACAGGCCATTTGCAAGAATGTGCAGACAATTGTATGATAATAGAGTTCTACGAGGTAGTTACAAAGTAATCAACTCTAGTTACCTGATGAATGCTTATTTCATCGAGATGAATTTGTGCATAAGCTTTGTCTTTTGCCAAAGCAGTGATATCACTGTCAAGAAAACAACAAAATTAAGTTACAGTTGCCTTAACCTGCAACTCGACAAACAAAAATAAAAAACACACATGCACATGCACTCACAGATGCACAAGTTACCTTCGAGAATATACATCCAGCAGTGAATCATTGTCATTTACGATTGGTATTGAACTGACATTGGCTGTGTCAGGAAGGTGTTGTAGCACAAAGTTAGGGAGGTTAAAGAAGATCAATCAGCATTACACACAAAGAAACAGACAGAGGATGGTGGTTGTAGCTCATGTACTAGTTTGAATGTGAAATACCTTGAACCAACAAAGACAGGGCAGCACCGAGAGAAGCATTTGGTCTCAACATTGCAAATGGCCGTCTATTTGGTTCCCCAATTTTTGGAACCCATGTACCCAAAGGAATTGAACAAATTGGCTGTTGAAGAATGGGTAAGGAGCCAGCACAATGTCTGAAATACCTGCATATACCTGACAATTAGGTGCATGTGTTAGTAACAATTTATACACCCCCAGGCATCAAACCAAGAAAGCTTACATTTTAGTATTCCAGACAAGGAAGCAAGATGTAGTAGCTGAGGAAATGAACCATCTGGAGCAGAAGAATGAATAATGGGAACTGTTGATATGCTGTTTTGCAAAATTTTCAAAGCAACATCTTTCAGCGAGTCATATGGCCCTGCCTGCATATTAAAGGAGTGGTGGATAGATAATCAGTGACACAGCAGATTGCAACATCATAATAAGGAATCACTAAACTAGAGAAATTTAAATTGCTGCATCTCAAGTAGCTCATTCGCACCATCTGATTCACAAACTTCAACACAGTTGACTTCCAGCAGTATTCCGCTATCTAAAAGGAACATTTCAACCCATATGCCCTTGCAAACCAAGTAAGGTGCGAAAAGAATCAACATTGAATAGAAAGATTATTTTTCTAGCAACCATTTCTCCAAGTGTATTTAACACCCTAGCATCCAAAGTTTATAGATGATTGCACGCATAATGGCAAAAATATACAATTAACATGAAAACCCCACCAGGTAAGATACTCAAATAAATGACAAATAACAGCTGTGAGATTATTTTGAATAGCAAGGCATCAGAAGAAGCACTTACATTGATCAGACGTTTAGAATATGCTCTCCCACTGCCATCAATTTGTCTGTTGAGTTGCATTTTTCCTTCCTTCCAAGCAGATATAGTATGTGTCTCTAATTCTTCCTCCGTCAGATTAGATCCATGAGTTCCAAGCTGAAATTGTGACCTTCATAAATGTTAAACCACCAAGAGACAGATGCCAAACATATACAACTGCATAACAGCTAGATACACTCTAAAAACTTAACTAGTGCTTCATTTATTACAAAGACAAGTGTAAAAGAACAAGCACGTTAACAATGCTTACGAAGACAAGTCTCTGAAGAATTTACAATGCTTGCTTATGTGTGTGCACAACAGCATGAATGCATGTGTTTTCTGACACCTTGGAAAACATGCAATTGAAAATACAAGACAACTTTAGTAATCATGCATGAAATGAAGACGGCAGAAACTAATAAGCATGTAAATTTAACTATTTTTCTTTTAAGCTTATGTTCCGGCCACTTAAAAGTGAGGGATTGTGATGCAAGTAACTCAACTGGGTAGTTTTTGCAGCAATGGGCCAAGTTTAGAAATTCATTTTCTTCAGTTAATTCTCCTTAGCAAAATGAAAATAGTTATCATTCTTGTAATGGATAAAAAATGTATGGCACTTGATTTGTCAAAACTCATGACGAATCTAATTAGCACTAAAACACATAATGCAGCTAATGAAGAAAAAAGCATTACTAATTGCTGTTTTTTCCTTTGAATTGTATCATCCCAATCCTAAGCATTTATTTTTGGTATTTATATAACAACCATAGCCCCTAGAAGAAATGCAGATTTAATAAAGTTACCAGCCCTGCCCTACACCTAGATGCAGCTTTTTTTTATCTTCATGTTATTTTACAGTTTCCCTTAAAATCATCATGGATCTTATTAGCATTGGAAAAGAGTGCCAAAATACACACCTCCCTCAGAATCAAGATGAAGTCGAATGCAGTAAGCACACCAACAAACTGGCCCTTGCAAAAGTCCCAAAGAGGAGCCACAGGGATGCCCTAAAAGTAGCTTAAATCAGCAGAAGAAATCTGAGCTAATAATCAACTATAAATGTAGCAGAATCATATTAAATTGACATAAAAGGCCAAAGGGCCAAGTTCAGAAATCATTAGAAAAAAGAAAAATAAATTATACAAAATGTCAAGGCACTTTGGATTGGATTACTTTCATGTTCTTTAGCAAGAACATTAACTTGCTGCATGTTATGTCTGTGTTTGAATGCATAGTAGAGATTCACCTGTTCATAGAGAACATGAAAGGCTTGCTTCACAGGTAAAGTGACATCCAATGCAATAACCTGAAAAGTAAGACACAAGAAGGAACAGATGAGCCTCCCAGTTATAGTTCAAAAACATAGAGAATGAGCATACAATTATCTCCCGAAGAAGGTAAAGCATTCAAACCTTGCCTGACTCTGGAAGCAACTCATATGCAGTATGTGTGGACAAGAATACAGAAATACGATGACGAGAGACCTCCAAGTCAGCTGCTGACATCCTTTGGATAACTTCCTGAAAAGCACCAACTAACAGAGTGACCAACTCTGCCCTAAAGAAAAAATACACAGAAAGTATCAAACATAAGATAATTAAAATCTCAACAAGACTCCTTGCGTTTTCTGTTTCACAGTTTCAAGAGCTGAAGAAACTTCAGCAGCTCAATATCATATCCATTTCCAAATTAGCCTTTTTGGTTGTTTTCCCCATGTGAAGAGATTCTCAGTTAGTAAATTTGCATTTCTACCTCATTGCCAGCTTCAACCCTACTTCACTCTTGTAATAACTCCAGAAAAGGAAATTTAAAGAAGTCTTTTCAGGCAAAAAAACAAAAAAGAGGGCTGAAGACAGAAACCTAGGAGGGAAACAGTTGCTTTTTTTTTTTTTTTTTTAAGATGATTCATCTGCCTCATTTATCTCCTTTGGGCATTCTACTGATGCGTTTACATTCCTAAGGCAACTTCAAAATATGGCATACAAGCACTTCCGAATTGGATCTTGTCTACAAAGAACAAACAATAGATGCAAAAGTACAGATGAAACATGGCATGGAGGCACATAAATAGACATCTAAGATTGAGAAAGTGCAATAGCTGCTAGAATGTCCAAGAAAAAATGGCGTCTCCCAAGCATTGCTTGCAAGGATGGTAAACAAAAGCAGTGCTTCGAAAATAATTACACATGATATGAAATACAGCTAAGTATTGGGGCTTGACAACTGGTCTGAGAGTCAATATTTGTGTAAGAGCTGAAATGTATCTAACCGGGCAAACGGAAACATCATCCAACTCCATGTTGGATCTCCCAGGTGTCTCAGAATTAAGAATTTGTGGAGGATCCTTGGTTAAGACAACAGTATTTACCGCCCCGTAAGGCCCACTGACACAGGATAGCTGATCATCAACCCGCCATTGTCCATCTACATAGAACTTGAACTGCATGCGAAAATGACAAGGTAGCAGAGATGTTAGAAATACATATCCCTTAATACATGGGTGTGATGAGAACATTAGCTAGTAAAAATAGCAAATGTAGAAACACCAAACAGAGAATACTGTAACATTCTATTCCAATTAGTAAAAATAGCAGTTGTAGAAAAACCAAACAGAGAATGCTTTAACATTCTATACCAATTAGTAAAAATTGCCAATGTAGAACACACCAAACAGAGAATACTATTTATTCCATCCCTGCAGCCATTACCATATTGAAAAGGAGAATGAAGACCTGGCAAAGGTTACATAAAGCCAATAGTTCCTATGGTTCCTCATATAGCTTGGCCTAACGCAGGTTCATACTCTTCAGGACTAAAAAAATAACATTATTAAATTAATCGACTCCTAAAACTAAGAGCAATTTGAATATGTTGTATGTATCAGACAACTTCTCTAAAAACATTCTGAAAAAGCAACAGATAAGAGCGTGTTGAAAACCACATGCTAATGCAAAATGCGTACATTAACAACACTAAAAACATAAACAAGCTCAGTTTGCTAGTATGAGAATAATCTTGATCTTGATGGATAAGGCAATGGATTATGTCCCAAAAGCTTAACCTTGTGAAGGGAAACATTTTCAAAACTCCAAAGCCTAGAATCATTTACTTTCCATATGGGATGAAGCTCTTCAAAGATGGCTATCTTTTTGGCAATGGCATAAGACCTACTTCATAATAGCTTTCATTACCATGTTCCTTTATTACATTTTAAAAAGAATCTATTGCCTTTCATTTCGATGCTCTCCATTTTGATGGCTTAAGAGAGCTACAGTCCATCCATAAATTCTCATGAATAACTAACAAAGTTACATTTTTTATTTGTACAGCATAACCACATTGATTTAAGATTAACATAAATTAGAGTTACTTTCCTTTCAAGCCTAAAAAACTTCCTTAAATAATTTGATAATGGAAAAAAAAATTCCCACAAATGCCAATTACCATGTCATCATCACAGGCACAGTGTTAAACATGCTTTACAAGCTGAGTTGGTTTAACAAACCTGATGCAATCCGGGCACTAAGCTAACAACAACTTGAAATACATTAGGGCACCCCTCCACCGGGGACATGGGTATAAGATCAGTCCACCTGCCCAAATTACAACTCAATTAGACACCCATGTGACATCAAATCGACAAACCGGAACACCCTAAAAGTTATGAAAATAGAATGCATTATCAATAACACAACTAAAAAACCATTTATACATTCATTACCATAATAATGATAATAATAATAATTTTTTGTGGTAATTACAAAAATCTGATCAATTGAGCAACTCACCTAGTAAAGGTACCAAAGATAGACACTTCTCCCCCTCCATAAGGCCACACAAAGCGCACAGGAATTACTCCACTATTATCATGGCCAGTACCGGAACCGGAACCAAACATCTTCCGTCCAAAAAATAATTTATATAAACACACTCAATACTTAACACGCCACAAATCAACAAAATGCCAATTCTAGAAAAATACCTCAAAAGAAACCACAATTCAAGCAACTATATTTTCCTCTCCCCAATTCAAAAAAAACTATAAAAACTAAACAACACCAGTGAATAGGGATCCTCTACAATTTAGCAGAGGACCCCTTCTTGCTTATACATGCAAAATTCCACAAAAATATAGTTGAATTTAAAACAATCCTCCAAATTAACAAACCCCAAAAACCCTTATTGATAATCAACAAAAATGATTAAACTTTGAGCAGCAAAACTCCACAATTCTCTACATGCAAGCATGGAACACTAACCAAATCAAAATCTCACCAATCTTATCCTCGTTTGATCATCAATTCAAACTCAAAAAGTCAACAAATCAAATGGCCACAAACTCCCCACCAAAAACCAACAAAATCACACAGAGTTTCAACCTCTGATCTGGTGTAAAGATGGAAACTTTGAAGCTAAATCGGATTCAGAGACTAAAATAAGAAAACCCAGATGGAGAATTGGACGAGAAAGTAAGGATTATGTGGCTAATTTAGGGATTGAATTGAAGGGTTAGGGAAAGAAAGAGGGAGGAAAAAAAACCTAATTTTGATAAAGAAAAAAATTGGCATTGTTTGGATCTCAAAAAATAAAAGATGGATTTTTTTCCTTTTTCTGTTTCCTTCTTTTTTTTTTTTTTGGTGGTTAAATTTTGGAGTGAAGAGAGAATCTATCTGGTGATCGAAGAACAGAACCAGGACGTAAGCTCCCTCACACACAAAAACAGAAATGAAACGATGAGTTTGAGAGTTGCAATAATAATATTTAATGATTGTGGTAAAATCTATGATGAATGAACAGTTAAAAAAATAATGTGTCATTTTGTGATGTTATACTGTGTATGCATGTGCATAGTAGCATCCATACGCACGTATTTGTACTTTTCTTGTCATGTTATACATTTACATGTACAGATGGAATGCTCACCCTGTTCTCGGATCTGCTTTCGGATGTTGTAGTATTTTCGGATCTCCTTTCGGGTATAGCTGATGAACGCTTTCTTGTTCTTCTTTTGGGTTGAGGACTCACATTTAGATTGATACGCTCATTGGGATTTTTTTGCTTACGATCCCTCATTGAATTCAAACTTAAGATGATAACGTGAAAGACATATAAAATAATTATGAGCATGATTAATTAGAAAATTGAAAATAAAAGAATTAAATTGAAGTTAAGATGATATTATTTGAGTTTTTTGTTTATTGATTGTTGATTAAAAAAAATTCGATGAGTGTTATTAAACTTACATAATATTCTTAAATTTCATTTACTTACAATTATCTTATTCGTAAATCTTATAATCTAATGATTTATGTTTTTCGGTCAATAAAATTGATGATAATATCCTATAAGATTAGCATTGCTCAAACTAGTAGTCAATACATTCTTAAATTTCATTTACTTCAAAAATCTCATTTAATTTTTATTAAATAAGTGAATCTCACTCATAAATCTTATAATTTATTTATTTTTATCAATGAAATCTATATTAATATCAACATTACTCAAACTAATAGTTAATTGATTTCCATATCATTATAATAACTATTCAAATAATTAATAGTAACATTAAAAAGTACAATAATCGAAGTTTAGGCTTATCGAATGTTTGTTTAAGTGATAAATTTGCAATTAAGTGGTAGCTTGAGTGACAAATAATTTATAATTACTTTCTAACTATTTAAAATAATATTTTTAGAATAACTAATGATGGTGTTAACCAGTAGTAATTATTTTTTCTTTTTTTTCAAGAAAAGAAGTATCTTGAATGGTAATTAATCAATGAGAAGGAAAATGATAATTCAGACTAAAAGAAAATATCAAGGTTTGCTAATTATTAAGTCAAATCACAAAATCAACGTTAGATCTACAACAACTCTCCAAAAAAAAAAAAAAAAAAACCATGTTAGATAGTGTGTTAATTTAAGGTTTAAGTTTATTGATTGTTTTCTTTTTTAAAAAAATTATTGATTATTTATTTAAAATACAAACTAGTAAATAACTAGTATATTGTGCACCAAATCATCTATGACGATTTTTCAAATAATTAGCAAGTAGTAACACGAATCTAAAAAAATAGTAGTAGAGATTTTCCTAAAAAGAAAAGATGCATTTATGGGTTTTTAGTCACCAAGCATGAAATTTATAATTCATATTGAAAGAAAATGAAGGTTTAATTGTTTGTTAAAATCACAAAATCATGGTTAAATTGTTAAAAGGTGCATCTATAACGACTTTTCAAATAATTAACAAGTAGTAATACGGATCTAAAAAAATAGTAATAGAGATTTTTCTAAAAAGAAAAGATGCATTTATGGGTTTTTAGTCACCAAGCATGAAATTTATAATTCAGATTGAAAGAAAATGAAGGTTTAATTGTTTGTTAAAATCACAAAATCACGGTTAAATTGTTAAAAGGTGCATCCGTAACGACTTTTCAAATAATTAACAAGTAGTAATACAAATCTTAAAAAAGATAGTAGTAGAGATTTTCCTAAAAAGAAAAGGTGCATTTATGGCTTTTTAGTCACCAAGCATGAAATTTATAATTCAGATTGAAAGAAAAATGAAGGTTTAATTGTTTATTAAAATCACAAAATCATGGTTAAATTGTTAAAATGCGCATCTATAACGACTTTTCAAATAACTAACAAGTAGTAATACAAATCTGAAAAAAAAAAAAAATAGTAGTAGAGATTTTCCTAGAAAGAAAAGGTGCATTTTTTGGGTTTTAGTCACCAAGCATGAAATTTATAATTTAGATTGAAAGAATAATGAAGGTTTAATTGTTTGTTAGAATCACAAAATCATGGTTAAATTGTTAAAATGTGCATCTATAACGATTTTTCTAATAACTAACAAGTAGTAGTATAGATCTCAAAAACAAAAATAGTAGTAGAAATTTTCCTAGAAAGAAAAGGTGCATTTTTGGGGTTTTAGTCACCAAGCATGAAATTTATAATTTAGATTGAAAGAAAAATGAAAGTTTAATTGTTTGTTAAAATCACGAAAATCATGGTTAAATCTATAACTTTCGAAATAATTAAAAACCATACTAGATAGTATATTAATTGAAGGTTTAAGTTTATTGATTGCTTTCTTCTAAAAAAAATATTGATTATTTATTTAAATTACGAACTCGGTAAATAACTAGCAGATTACCCGCCAAACCATCTATAACGACTTTTCAAAAAATTAACAAATAGAAATATAGATCTACAAAAAAAAAAAAAAAAAAAAGCAGCAATAGAGATTTTTTCTAAAAACCAAAAGTGTAGTAATGTGTTTTTAATCCCCAAACATAAAACTTATGATTTAAATTGAAAGAAAAAAAAAGGTTTAATTGTTTGTTCAAATCACAAAATCATATTTAATTACACCATATGTTTTTACAACAACAATTCAAAAATTTAACAACATCATTAAATAGGATAACAATTCAAGCTTTGATTTTTATTGATTGTTTGTTTAAATGATAAATCAATAATAACTAATCGATGAATTTCGTACCAAATTATTTATAACGACTTTTCAAATAAATAACAGTAATATTAACAAGGATATCCGATATGATAATCTAATCAAAAAGAAAATAAGAGGTTTATCGATTGTTTATTTAGGTGAAAATTAATAGTCAATATGTATTCTATATCAATTTGTACCAATTATTAAAAAAATCAACAACGAACAATAAAAATAAAAATAAAAATATTTATCAATCTATTCATACATTAAACAGCTTCTTCACATAAAATATTGCAAAACATCAAGAAAATTGATAGAAGGAAAAAAAGTTATGAGTTTGGTTGGTAAAGATACTCAAACCAAATGAGAGATCCAACTTACCTCGAGAGCAACAAAGGCAGCAGGTTAAAGAGATGAAATGGAGGAAATCTAAATGGTAAAGAGATTGTGGTTACAAAAACAAGGGTCGGTGTCTTCTATTTATGCTTGAGTCAATAACACCATAACAAGGCAACAACACAATTTTTAGCTAAAAAGTTAAAAAGCTTACCATAGATGATGTACAAATGTTCAATGTTTATTACAAAGAATCTCTCTAAGAGTGCTTTTTCAATTAAGGATTTCAAACCAATCCAAACACTCTTTTGAGGTTTGGTTCATGCACTAAATAAATTTGTTTTAGATGTAATCGGTTGGAGGTCCACCTTTTAGGCAGTGTCCATTGTAATTTTCTCGTTATCTTTTGAATGTTTAATAAGTTTTTTGTTTATGAGATTTTTGTTATTTTTTGAATATTTAATAAGTTTTTCTTGTATGTTGAATATGTGTTATAGGTCTAAGAAAATAATTAATTAAAAAAAGTATTAATAAGAAAAGGGAGTGAAGTTAAATAAATAAATATTGTGAAACTAAAATGGAAAATTTTATTTTCTTATTTTATTTTTTTTTCCTATTTAGCTTACACATGTATATATATATATATATATAAAAGAGTTTGTCTTTCTTTTATGTACAGCTACCAAAAAGAGTAGCTGGAGGGAAAATAGAAAACAACAAAGACTTTTCTTATTGCTAAAAGCAGTGGTTTTTTGGTGCGCAAAAGATTGAGATTTCCTTTAACATTGATTTTTTGGATACTACAATCAGTATAATTACGAGTGCTTAAAGTGGTGATTTTGTATAATATCGAGCTTTACGTAAACGCAAAAAATATTGTAAATTCTAAACTTTTTTGGTGAGACAGATTTAGGTGTATAGGTAACTTATATTATTATTGATATTTTTTCTTTTCAAGTTCACAGAGAAACTTAAGTGATTTTTTTATATATATAATTATAGTGGATTATTTCGTAGTCGGTTATGTGATTTTTCCATCTACAATAGAGAGAGTTTTTTTAACGTAAATTTGGTGTTCTTGTCATTGTGATTGATTTATTT